TGATCAATGAGATTGCTGAATGTGTTTATCTAAACAGTCTTACTTATTGGCTTTAGTACGCCTGTAGCTCTTTGTAAAGTTGAAGCTGTCGACTAGAAATCTTCAACTCTACCTTGAGCTCTTCTAAGCTGACTATCGTTCAAAAGATCGAATAAAGGAAGAAAGGTTGGAGAAATGGAGTCAGCAACCTATTTCCGTAAAACAAAATCTTGCTGTAAAAAAGTTGAGACCACAGAGCTTATCATAAGCCCCTAATCCATTCACCCCCAATTCAGTATTCCTTTCTGTCTTGATTCTTTCTATCTGAGTATGTGTGTACATTGCTTATTTTACTGAGTATATATCTAGTCTGTTTTGTCTGACTATAAATACTGAGTCATGCTTTATCACATAGAGAGTCGGCACTCCCATCATCTACACTTCACTTCGCTTTCTCGCTTCGTATTCTGGTCTGTCTATCCATCCACATAAGCGATTGCTTGGAATAAATTCAGCCAACCGAGAATCCATATTTGGTTTCCTGTTACCGCCGTCTCATCAAATGAGTTCGACTCAACTGAACAGCTGAAAGAATCAGAACAGTTACCGAATACAACTTAGCACGAAGTTCAAGAATGTCCTCTCTAGTAGTCTCAGATAAGATCACCAAACAAAAACTTACTCAAAAGAATACCTCAAACGATATTTCTTGTTTTCAAAATATGTAAGATTATAACTATTATTATCTTTAGTGAACTAACTAAATTTTAAGTGACTGAATCAGCAATCCAGCTAAAATCACTGCCCCACATATTCACTACCTCAGTCATTCATTAACTTATTAAAGTAGTATTCTTTTTGGCAAACTTCTGTCCGTTTGTTTTTTCACTCTCTTATAATTAGGTTGTTCAAACACCACTAAAGCAGACTAGTGACTGGATCGAAATCAAAAATTATATTCAATAGTATACTACTTACTACACAACTATTTATATTATTCAATAGAAATATATAGGTTATCGATTTGTTTCGGAATTTGTCTATGTAGATTGTGGCGAGACCGCACAGGGTTTGTCTTAGCCTTTGTACAATCTTCCGACCTTACCAACTATTCACGTTGACTGCTTTTATTAAAGTGTGTGTCTGTGTGTGCCGCCTACTTTACTTGTTGCATGTCTAGCTTATTTTTGTCTGACTGGAAATACTTAGTCATGGCCTCATTACATTGAATTGGCTCACTTGCCTTCACCGTTTCGATTCGTTCCGCTTGTATGCCTGTAAGTAAGATCCATTTTTTGAAGGCTTTGTTTGTGAAAATCCCTCCATGTCGGATACATTTATAATTTGTCCTTATTGATTCCTCCAGTTGTACATTTTTTTAGTCTGTTCGATTCCACTTCGGAGATGATAAGATCTGTATTTCATTTTAGTTTCTATTTCTTCTACCTTTACTAAGTTTCTATGTTTCTTTCTGAGCTGATCTGCATTTATGTTGTTTAATCTGATATTTAGTCATGGCGACAGCCATATTGATTTGTTCCTCTTTTGATTGTGTCGACTGCATTGATTGGAATTGCGCATTTTGATTGTGAATTGAAGCACCTTTCCGGAATGGGAAACACTCTGTGTTATAAAGCAACCAAATATTATCTTTCGAACGAATCTGATCTATCCAGGAGGAATAGAATATCATTTATTTTTTCCTGTTAATTTGAATAAATGGACAATTGTTGATGGAACAACTAAGTGGTAATATTTGTTTAGGTAATGTGATGTATGTTTATACTTAAGATAAATATTAGAACCTTTATTTACCCGAATCGCTTGTTTTGATACCAGCTGGGCAAGACGCGTATCTAATCTACCTAGACAGTTATTCCTCAGTTATAAACCTCAGTTTCGATCCTACAATGCCTTTTTTCCTAATGTCTGTATGAACATACGACTGCCTGAAATCAGCTCGTCTTATTATCACCGTCGTACAGCACAGGGTTCGTCTAAGTATGATTTACAGAAACTGAAGGGGAGATTGTGGGTCAGGTAGTGAGCCTTACTTCGAATTCAACACAACTACATTAATAGGTAAGCCCGCCGACGAACATAACGCAACCCAATAAAATATCATTCGCTATTTCTTTAATATCAATCATCAACTCGCTAATCATGTTATTACTGACATGAATGACTGCTAGCAATGATATTGATTAAGCTTGTGATGATCAAATCGGTCAACTAAAAACTTGACTGTTTGCTAATAATAAGCTCTAATTTTAAAAAATATCCGAATGCTAAATAGAACCAATGATAGAAATAAGTGTTAAGCATTTCTACTCACAATAATATGCCCAGATCGCAAATCCATCACCATCATGTGAGATGATATTCTGAAAGCAAAATTAATGTGTTTTCGAAAGTCTTTCAATCACAAAACTGTTGCACCTGCACGTAAACATGTCATTTTGATATGTTTGAACTATTTATTACGAGTTTACCTAGTCGGAAACGCGAGAGCGAGGATCGAGGTTACGGCAACACGACATTCTACTCAAATCCAATTATCCAAACCCCCATATTGAGTAAAAATAAGAAGACATGATAAGAAGTAGAACATGTATTCTACAAGCATCCATAAAGTACCAGGTCCGAGTCCCGGAGAGAATCAGGATCCCGGACTAGGGATCCGGGACCGGGTTCTGGTCCTGGTCATAAACGTTACACATAATGCGTATTTATACATTTCGGTCGAATAGGAAACAGCATCGGAGTCTATGAGATTGACAGTTAAGAGGATCAATAGGAAGTAACATTTGGAGTGACATTGATAGTCAGGACAACCAATAAGGAACAACACTGAAGTCTGTATGACATTGAAAGCTAGGACGACCATAAAATTGACCAGTAGGAATGAACCATTAGGAATTGACCAATAATTCTCTTAGGATAATGGATGAATAACCTAAAAAAAGATCTCTGATGCATCTGACTGTGATTAATTTCCTGTTCAGTAACTTTACCGTCTGTGTAACTGCTGATATTTTTTAAAAAAGATTCTTTGGGCAGTACATACTCTAATCACACACTCATTTTTGTAATGATAAGCGCATTGATCAATAATGATCAACAGACCGAAAGTTGAATGACGCAAAATAATCATGGATTCAACTGCAAAATCGTGCACGGAGGTCAGCTGACAGACTCGTTCGAGGTGAAGACCGGTGTCAGGCAAGGTTACTTACTCTCACCCTTTCTCTTTCTCCTGGTCATCGACTGGATTATGAAAACGTCAACATCTGGAGGGAAGCACAGTATCAACTGGACAGTTAGGACGCAGCTAGACGATCTGGAATTCGCAGATGACCTGGCTATTCTATCGCACACGCAACAACAAATGCAAGAGAAGACGACCAGTGTAGCAGCAGACTCTGCAGCAGTAGGTCTCAACATACATAAATGAAAAAGAGAAATTCTCCGACGCAACACAACATGCACCAACCAAATCACGCTTGATGGAGATGCTTTCGAGGACGTTAACAACTTTACATATCTTGGCAGCATCATCGACGAGAAAGGTCGATCGGATGCAGATGTGAGGGCGCGGATTGGCAAAGCTAGGGCTGCATTTCTACAGTTGAAAAATATCTGGAACTCCAAACAACTTTCAAACAAAACCAAAATCAGGATTTTCAAAACAAATGTCAAGACAGTTCTACTGTATGGAGCGGAAACTTGGATAACTACGAAAGCCATCATCCAGAAGATACAAGTGTTTATTAACAGTTGTCTACGCAAAATACTTCGTATTCGTTGGCCAGACACGATCAACAACAACGTGCTGTGGGAGAGAACAAACGAGATTCCAGTGGAGTTGGAAATGAGGAAGAAAAGCACCTAACTGCGTCACAAGACAAGCCCTCACATGGAACCCTCAAGGCAAAAGGAAAAGAGGAAGTCCAAGGAACACACTACGCCGAGAAATGGAGAAAGATATGAGAGGAATGAACAAACATTGGACAGAACTGGAGAGAGAAGCCCAGGACAGAGTTGGTTGGAGAAAACTGGTGGGCGGCCTATGTTCCATTGGGGGTAACAGGCGTAAGTAAGTAAGTAAGTAAGTAAGTAAGTAAGTAATCATCTTTTTAATTAGTAAATATATAACAGAAAATATAAACTTGATCATTTTTGATTCTTAAATTAATAAAACTCTCAGAATACTACTATGAAGGGCTGTTTAGAATATCTAAGTCCTGTCTGTGAAGCTATTTTAAAAATTTCAATCTGTGAATTACAACAACTCATTGGCTTGAAGGACATGTTCTCACCATCAAACCTGAGCTGCCTAATTCAAAATACTATACCGAACTATATTCTAGTCTAACAATGAAATAGATATTTGAATAAACCATGCAGTTAAAACTATCAATTAACTAAAAAGGGAAAAAAAGGATAAGACCAAGATGGTCACACTATTGAACTTAGTATCTGGATAGTGAGCATGAAACCTATCCAAGCCTTCTGGCCAAGTGGGTCAGCTAACATAAAGATGCATAATACGTTGTAAGATTCAGGTAAATCGACTAATCACTTGTCATGAAATGACCAGTTCCAGGTTTTCAACCAACGTGATGAAAATCAAGAAATTGCATCTCAAAATTCACAATTTTGACAGAACAGTGAGAAGACGCAATTTATAAAAGGGACTAATTGTTTTTAAACATTAACAATCTCAAACTGTATATCAGTCCCGACGAACATTCCTCGTTAATTGAAAAACTAGCATTAAAAATCTATCGTCTAATGATATAACTGTCACGACTTCATATAACCAGAATGAAACGAATCATCTCCTTCACATGCATGCTGAAATCTATGTCGCTATTTCTTTAAAAGTCCTACTACTGATGAATTGAATAGTGGCTCAAATGACATTTCTTTTGTTTAGTTAAATCACGTACTGAAAATTAAAATAGTAGTACAAAACTACATTTGAAAATATTTTATTTGTACTCATTAAAATAACTTACTCTGCTTCTTTTTTCTTTAAACAAATTCGTAGTTTCTCCTTTTCAGATTCATAACGTTGTTCATCTAAAATACCACAATGACTATTATATTAACTCAAAATATGACTTATCAGTGAGTAAAGTTTTTTTTTAGCTGAACAAAATCTATAAATTATATATATACACGGTTTTCTCGATCTGAAGTTTCTGTCTTCATTCTCAGGTACTCTATAGTCCTGAACTTTTTATTGATGCAGATGTGGCCGATTTGATTCTGTGTGTTGTGATTCGGTGAAACCTATGCCGATATGTGTATGCGTTTGTGTAGGAGAAAGATGGTGCCGCTCATAACCGTCTTGTTGAAGGCACTGTTGCCGTTCGTAGTAATCCCCTCCTTTTGTCTTGAAGGGCGTTTTCGATCATAGATTTCTTAGAAGCATTGCTTGTGTATCGTGGGATAACCGAGTAAGCAATGCTACCGTTAGGAAGTGAGTACTAGGTAAGGATGGCAGATCAACAGACGAATTATTGAAACATCATCAATTGAGGTGGTTGGGACATGTGTTACGAACGCACGACCAGCGACCACCTCGATGAGCTTTGTTTCATGGTGTAGGAGTAGGTTGGAAGAAAGTTAGGGGCGACCAGACAAAAACATGGCACAAATCCATAAAGTCACTGACAAGTGAACTGAGTCACGTTGGTAGATAAATGTAGACTACCTGGTTTGGCTCCGCGAGACGACAGTCAGCGATAGTTAGAGGCCTTGAATGATATGGCTGAAAATCGTTCGCAATGGCGCTCTTTATGTTTGCTAAAATCCTAATCTTCTGGATTCGTCAATACCTCTAATTTTGTCTTTCTAAACCTTTCTCACTGAATTATACTTCTTGAATAATATCTTCAAACCCTAATCCTTTCTATTACCAGTAGTACTCCTACTATCCTTACCACTATGGGGTTTGAATTGACAGTTGTGTCTGTGTGCTAATGTGGTATGGCAACATGAACTGATGTACTTACATACGAAGTTCTACGTTACATCTAACAGACTGACTGACAATTTCGTCATTGAACGTTGAACAAAGGTTGGTTATGTTAGTCATAGATAAATAAATTCAACAATAAAATATTTCGCATCATTTTAAACTGACCAGCTTTTAAAATCTCCTTTTTCTTTTCATATGCTTCAATATTGAACAATGAGGTCTTTTGTGATTCTTCAATCTAAAAACAAGTTTTCAATAGTAAGTAAAGATTCTGACAAGAAAAACATTGTAAATTTCATGTTTTCACATCAACTACATAATGTAAAGCATTTATTTAGGATGGTCTAATACACTTATTGATCCAGTGCTTGTTTGTGTGAGGCTGACTGGGTCTGAAGCTGCGACATGCCAATCATTGAATTTCACTACATCACTTCTAAGTACTGTGATGTGATAGTTAACTGTCACTGATGTTGGCTAACTCTATCTACTAGACTAAGTGTTTTTATCTCTCTTGTTTCCACTACTCATCAGTGTTCGCGATCATTACGTAGGCTTTTCTTGCCAGCCTGCCCGTAGGCTCACTTCACTCCTGATCATATTTAAGAGCTAGATGGGATGAGTTTCCAAGCATCTGTCAGTTCTTTAGATGCAACTGAAATCCACGCCTTCTATCTTACAGTATGGTTTATCTTACTGGAAGATATCACTGCTGTATCCACAGCTTTTTGAATATCACACTAAGCTGTACTTTATGCAATGACCAACTCTGGAAAATCTACATCTCAGTTGATTGGAAGTGATCAATAAGAAGCATTATTTATTTTCCCTTGAATTCCATCTCACTATAGGTATTCATCATCAAGTCGGATGTGCAATTTTAAAGAGAACGTGATGCCAACCTGCATCAATTAGTTATTGATTCAGATAGGCGACTAATCAATGATTTTAATTAAGCATTCACAATGTCAAACAGTGTTTATCTTATTTGAAAGAATTCCTGGTATTTCATTAGTATTTAAAAATAATTATATCTTGTGCATATAACTTATATGATTTGATCATATAATAAGATAATAATTTTATAAAGACGGAGAAACTTTGGAGGATGTAGAAACCTTTACATATCTGGATAGCATCATTGATGAGCAAGGTAGAGATCTGATGCACATGCGAACTGACGGATTGGTATAGTGACGGCAGTGTTTCTACGATTGAAAAACATCTGCAACTCAAAACACTTATCGACAGACACTGAAGTCAGAATTTTCAATACAAATGCCAAGTCTGTTCTACTGCATGGGGCGGAAACTAAGCGAACTGTGAAAGCTATCATTCAGAAGATACAAGTGTTTATTAACAGTTGTCTGCGTAAAATACTTCAGATCCGTTGGCCAGACACTATCAACAACAACGACCTACTGTGGCAGAAAACAAAGCAGCTTCCTCCAGCTTAGGAAGAAATTAATTAGGAGAAAGAGCTGTAGGTGGATACGACACACATTGTGGAAAGCACTCAACTGTATCACAAGGCAAGCTCTCGCTTGAACTCCTCAAGACCAAAGAACACACTATGTGAAGAAGTGCAGGCAAACATGACAAAAATGAACATCAGGCTCAGGACAGAGTAGTTTAACGAATGCTAGTGTCAGTGGTCTATGCTCCTTCTGAAGTAATAAGCAGAAGTAAGTAATTTTATAAAATTTCCTTCATTTTCAGTGTAAATGTGTTTCACACAATTTTCAAATCCATGGTAATATTTGTTTATATTAGTGTTATTATTGAATATGAATGATTAGTGAATCAAAGATCAATTAAATTTCAAACTAAATAAGTATGTTAGGTTTCATCCTTGTATGCGACTCATTATAGCAGTGCCCATTCACAACAACCCAGTGGGCTGTCGGAATCGAACCAAGGACCACCGGTCTGGCACACGAACGCTTTAATTCGTCTTTTTGTTTTAAAAAAAACAACTTTTTTTCAAGAAATTTATCTATAACATACATTTTTCAATTCTTTTCTAATAGTTTCCACCGCTTTTTCATGTTCTTCTAACATTTTATTCAATGATTGTTGTATGAAGTCACTGAAATAAATAAAATCGATAAATAATTTTATATGACTCGTAGAAATAATACGCCAACAAAAACTAGTGACTAGAATAAGAATTTCAAAAAAAATGGCTACCGATTTCTAGAATGTTATTTAGATATCATTATGAAGCTAATTCCTCTCTCTACACAATGTTGATTTCATGAGCTTTATTAGGTCATATATGTACAAACACGATACCACTCAGTAATCGAGTTAATGACTCATACATTAATCGTTATTCATGTCAGTCTGTCAGTCAGTCAGTCAGTCAGTCAGTCAGTCAGTCAGTTACAACGTAGAACTTAGTATGTACTTACGTACGTACATCAGTTCAGGTCGCCATAACACATTAGCGCAGAGACGCAATTGTCACTTCAAATCCCATAGTAGTAGAGGCAGTAAAGGTATTAGCAGTAATCAAAAGTGATTAGGGTTCAATTTAGCGAAATAAACTTAAAAAGAAAAGGATAATTGTGAAGAGGAATTGAGAAGGTTAGGACTTGAGAGAACACAAAGAGTGGATGCGTCTGAGCCATTGCAAACAGTTTCGAGTCATGTCATTCAAGGTCTCTAACCATCGATTATTATCATCTTGCAGGCGCCAACCACGTAGTCGACACCCACCGACATGACTTAATCTGCTTGTCAGTGACTTTATAGAATTTGTGACATATTTTTGGTTTGGTCGTCCCTAGGTGGACAAGGCAGTCGGTGGTTAGACATTCGTAACTCATATCACAACCACCTCAACTCATGAAGCTTCACTACTTCATCTGTTGATCTGCCATCCTCACCTAACAAAATGTGAAAACCTTTTCTCCCAACTTCCATTCACAAAACAATTCGATTATTGACTGTATTCTTTCACATAACTTCTGGTCTTACAAACATGACACTTTGTTACATACTACTTAGAAGCCAAATTGCGAGTAGTATCCACTACATTAGTAAACTGTTTGATATTTCATAGCGGAAAGTGTGAATGGTGATATATTTTCTTCGTAATTGCCACTTCAAATTGAAGTCTTTAATGATTTCAATATCACATGTTCGGGAAATTACCATGAACTTGCTAATCGTTTTTTAATGAAAAAGACTCGAAGGTATGTTAACTATAGAGAACAAAATACTATCACACATTCAAGTCATGTCAGCCGGTCAGCTACAACGTAGAAATTCGTACGCACGTTGGTACACTAGTTCAAGTTGCCATAGAGAGAGAGAGGCGATGGTCAATTCAAATCCCATAGTAGTAGGGATAGTAGAAGCATTAAAGGTAATGGACAAGATTAGGGTTCGAAGATATCATTTAAGAAGTATAATATGATGAAATAAACTTTGAAAAAGAGAAGGATAGTGGTGATTTTGAGCCATGTCATTCAAAGTCTCTAACCATCGATTACTATTGTCTTGCTGACCCTAACCAGAGAGCCTACACCTACAATCATTGTTAGACTACCATTAGAAACCTGAAAGCACTGGAAAACCGTTTCTTTCTGGTATGGGACTTATTAGATCAGTGTTCGTTCACAACCTTAGCTCTAGGGAATCCAACCCAGGACCTACGTTTCACTTCTAGACAACTGAACCGACATCCAACGTAGTTAATGTTTAACTTTCATCAGTTTAAGATTTCGCTCAACCTGGTCTAGCAATGATTGATTGCAGTGTAAAACATCAGTCTCCAAAACTGTTTAATAAATATCACACAAAGTGCTCACTGGTAACTAACTTCGTGAGGAAATTCTATGAGTCCTAATGAGAAGCAGTGATTACTGGAGTTCAAGTCGGGTGTAGACAATAACTACCAGAGACAATAGGTGAAGTTGCACAAAACCTTCGATTGATCAAAGTTATACATTAACACAGTTGGGTGCCAGCTCAGTTGTCTAGAGTTTAAACTTTCACATGCAATACCAAAGGTCCCCGGTTTGATTCCTGCAAGCAGAGCACGTGGATGCGCACTAACGGTAGTATCAGACCAGGACGAAACGACCGTCCTTCAGTACTTCCAAGTTTCCAATGGTGGTCTAACATTGATCAACTCATGATTTCACTGCAAAACAACAATCATCACAACTCTATAATGAATTAAATAAGTGTGTTTTTGTTTCAAACTGGTTTTACATATCAAATATTTGACTTCGTATTATGAATGACATTGTAGAATAACTGAAAAACAATCAGCCAATTTAGGTAAACTCCATACATTTTTATCTTCTCATCAATGAGTTAGTTTATGATCCATGCACGTGAACGCGAAAATAGACCAGTCCTAGAAGTTAGCGAATTGGTTTTCTGCGAGGAAGGGATTACCACGCCCAAATATCTTCCGGGGTTGAGACTAGCAGTAACTCCAGAAACTCCCAAGGCGAAGTTATCATATGCTCACTCATAACTTATTTCCTAGAAAGGATTCCGGACTCCAACTGAGAAATCGATCGACCATATTAAGTGTAAGATATTTGTACCCACCATGTAAGCATGTAAGCCGCTTATTATATGAAGGCTCAATGGTCTAAAAACAGTCAACACACAACTGGAAATCTTGGATTCCATCTCATGTAACAGAATTATAAATCACTACAGTTTGCTGGTCCTAGGAGGAAGAAAGTAGAAAAAATTGAAACAATACACTACACTACTATCAATTAATTATCAGTAGTAGCTTACCGTTTATCTTCAGCTGTTTTAATTTCAATTTCTTTCTTTTCAATTTTATTTAATAATGCAGCTTTTTTCATTTTGGATTCATGTATTTGATTGTACAAATCATCAACACTGCTTGATAATGAGAATTCTTCAAATCGTTTACTACGCAACGCTTCACTCACTTCTTGATGAGGTCTGTGAAATGTGTAATTAATATTATGGTAACATAATTACTCATCATGATAAAGTTAGTCAGTGTAAAGTTGCTTTCCGAGACTCGTCATTTACCGGGGTGTGTTATATAACGCCAGCTGATCTAAATTTACTTGGTTTAGATTGGTTCGACCAGCTAAAATTGGCTGATGTCCCGTTAAATACCATATGCCGCCTGATATCACAACCACATGACCCCGAATCATGTAAGAAGAAGCTGACAATGGAGTTTTCAACCATTTTTGAACCTGGATTAGGTCAGTGCACTGCCATGAAAGAAACATTTCGGTTGAAACCTGGGGCTAAGCCTGCTTTCCGTCCAAAGAGACCCGTAACTTATGCAACATTAGCAACAGCAGATGAAGAGCTGGATCGTCTTCAACGACAAGGAGTTATTACTCCTGTTTCTTACTCTAGTTGGGCAGCACCTATAGTTGTTATCAAAAAGGCCAACGGTACGAAACATATATGTGCTGACTTCTCTACAGGTCTCAACGCAGCTCAAGAACAGCATCATTACTTATCCTCTGCCAGTGCCAGCAGATCTGTTCACTATGCTGAATGGGGGAAAATTCCTCGCAAAGCTCGACCTAGCTGATGCTTATTTGCAAGTGGAAGTCGATGAAGTATCTAAAGAGCTGCTTACTATCAATACCCATTGTGGTTTGTTCCAGTGCAACCGTCTGCCTTTCGGAGTTAAGACTGAACCATCTATCTTCCAACAACTAATGGATACTATCCCGCCCCCGTCGCCAAATATTGGGTTCGTCACTAAGTATGCTTGAGGCTATTACGAGTTTACCTTAGTCGATAAACGCGAACGAAACTTTTACCAGCGTCCAGGTAGGCTAACTTGAATACCCAAAGTCGAAATAAAAGGCTTTGTAAGCGTAGAAAGTATATTCTACAAACACCCAGCAATCACAGTGCAATCAAACGTAAACTCTCGTTTATTTATACATCATAGCAACGTCCTTGGGACAGTTAAGAAAATACCACACTAAAATACACAGCAGCCAATCACAGCCACGGATTTTCCTGGTGAAAATTAAAATCTCAAGGTCAACTGATCAGCCCATGATGGCAAACGTGAAAACCAAAATAAGACATTTATCAAGCGAGTTTTGGGGATATAACATCCCCAACAAACACAGAACTTCGTACGCACATACATCAGTTCAGTTTGCCATAGCACATTCGCACAGAGAGATTGAATTGTCAATTCAAATCCAATAGTAGTTGAAGTACTAGCGGTGATCGAAAAAGATTACTGATTGAAGATATGATTAGAAAAGTATAATCCAGTAAAATAAATTCAAAAAGGCAAAACGAGTAATGAGGAACTCAGAAGGTTTATAATTTGAATGAAAACAAAGAGTGAATATACATATCTACGCCACTGAAAGCGATTTTCAGCCATGTTATTCAAAGTCTCTAACCACCGATTACGATTGTTTCACGGACCTCAACCAGATATTTCATATCTACCGACATGGCTCAATCAAGTTGTTGGTGACTTACTTCATGGGTTTTGCGAAATGTTCTGGTTTGATGGCCCTTAACTTTCTTCCAGCCTACTCCTGTGGTGTGAGCTACTTATAAGTAGTATATGATGTGAGTGTCAACGTAATGTCTGGCAGCATAATATGGGGGAAGATCAAGAAAGGAAGAGTTAGAAAACAATGGAATTTGTATGAAACGCATGAACAGTGACAATGGATTGATGATGCGATATGATGAACTGATATTTTGCAAATTAACGATTTACGATATGGTTTTCCAATTTTACTGAGTAACTCTGTAATTTTGCTGAATACAATTCGCTTGCCCCACCTGTGTTCTCGTTCACTACACTCCTACTCATTGCTTGCCGAGGCAGTAGGTGATTGGGAATATGTAATCTCAACTTATTAAGACTCATTACTTCATCAATTTATCTGCCACCCTTATCAAGTACCGTTTTCATAACACCAGCATTGATTATTTGATGATCCTATGGTATACCAGCCATGCTTCGAACATACCTTTGATCGAATACTAGCAACTAATGAGTATCATCGTTTTTTATTGGTCACGTCTCACATATGTAATGTAGGACGGAGTGTTAGGCCTTTTTATGGGAAGGTTTTTATGTGTTAGCTGCGCTCTTTAAAATGCCTTACCATTGGAAACGGAAATTCGTGGGGTGAAGTGAGGTATGACATTTTCATGGTCAACCTTTCCTAACCCCGCCCTTCCTTGTGAGAAGGCAGCATCGCTGCAGATGCTGGTTTTTGGACAGAAACACCGTACAGCTTCTGTCACACCTCTCTACAGTTAGCAGTACGACTTCACCCCCAGACCTTAAGTTGCTGGCTTTAGTCTTACCGTTCTCCAATCAACCTACCTGGCATGGTACGACCTAAAGGAACATATGTTGCAGCTAAAATAGTTCGCTTGGTTCATCACGATAGTCAAGTCCGACCACCATGTCAAGTTAGCAGCTACAGTCTGGACTTATAATTTTATACAAAATTTAACAGTCTATCCTTCAAAACTACATTGACTAGATTTCATTACTAAGTATAGATGACTGTGTAGCTTGTAACAATATAGCGAGCCTGAGGGGCTTGTCGTAGCTTTCTGACAAACTGATCAATATTTTCTTCTCGAGTTATTATTCATAAGTCTTTCGATCTTATCAATCATTCGCTGATTCACAAATATGCAAATTCACCCTGAATTGCCAAGTGTAATTTTTCATTGGTTCTCAGGAGAGCCTAACACTGCCCACGTGTTAACACTACAACGTGAATAGTACAGCTCAATCCTTTGGCGCAAGCACACAGATAACTGACACCCTGGTGGACCATTCATTCTCCTATACTTTGGTTGCTTTTATGAGAGTGTATATGTGCACGCTTACTTCGCTTACTACATACAGGTCAAGCATATTATTACCTGACCATAAATACTTGGTCATATCTCATTTCATTGAGTTGGTTCACTCGCCATCTCCACTTCGCTTCACTTTGCTTGTACGCTTTTCATTCTCATGTCTATCTGCATGAACGATTGCCTGAAATAAATTTATCCAATTAAATCCGGATTTGACTTCTTATTACCGCTGTCGTACAAATGGAGTTCACCTAAGTATGATTTATACGGAAATGGAAGGAAAGATTTATTTCTTGGCATGTTCAAGTGTCCGTCAGATCGCAGGTCAATAAAGCGCTGAGCCGTACTTCGAACTCGACGCAGCCACCATAACTTTTTCGTAGTTTGTCTAACAAAATACTCATGAAACATCAGTATGATGGTGTTTATTAAATCAACCACATGATGATTGCTTAACGAATTTAGAGACATAGAAAATCAGTGGAACAAGACTAAAGTCATGTTAAGCACCAAATTACTGTTAGTATAGGAAGGACTTCATTTACTTATTTACTTACTTACGTCTGTCACCCCCAATGGAGCACTGGCCGCCGACCAGTATTCTCCAACAGCAAGGACATCTTGGCGATCAAGGAAATTTCATGTTTTAGATCACTGAAAACCAACTGTCCAATAATTCCTAATTTTCAAAGGCTGTCTAACAATAGTCAGCAAAGTAGTTTTGAATTTTCTTCGATCAACATGAGCTCTCAAAATCGTTTGCAATGGCACAAGTACATCCACTCTTTGTGCTCTCTCAAATCCTAATCCTCCGGATTCTTCATCACCTTTGTCTTTCTCTTTTTAAGTTAATTTCACTAGATTCTACTTCATGAATGATATTCTGGAACCCTAATCTCTCCATTTACTGCTATTTCTTCTAATAACTCTACTACTACTGTGGTACGAGCTACTTATATATAGTATATGACGTGAGTGTCAACCTAATGTCTGGCATCAGAAGATGGGGGAAGATCAAGAAAGGAAGAGTTAGAAGAACACAATAGAATTTGTATGAAACGCATGAATAGTGACATTGGATTGATGATGCGATATGATGAACTGATATTTTGCAAATTAACGATTTACAATATGGTTTTCCAATTTTACTGAGTAACTCTGTAATTTTGCTAAATACAATTCGGTTTCCCCCACCTGTGTTCTCGTTCACTACACTCCTACTCATCGCTTGCCGAGGCAGTAGGTGATTGGGAATATGTAACCTCAACTTATGAAGACTCATTACTTCATCGATTGATCTGCCACCCTTATCTAGTACCCTTTTCATAACACCAGCATTGATTATTTGATGATCCTATGGTATACCAGCCATGCTTCGAACATACCTTTGATCGAATACTAGCAACTAATGAGTATCATCGTTTTTTATTGGTCACGTCTCACATATGTAATGTAGGACGGAGCGTTAGGCCATTTTACGGGAAGCCTTTTATGTGCTAGCTGCGCTCTTTAAAATGCCTTACCGTCAGAAACTGAAATTCATGAGGTGAGGTGAGGTGTGACATTTTCATGGTCAACCTTTCCTAACCCCGCCCTTCCTTGTGAGAAGGCAGCATCGCTGCAGATGCTGGTTTTTGGACAGAAACACCGTACAGCTTCTGTCACACCTCTCTACAGTTAGCAGTACGACTTCACCCCCAGACCTTAAGTTGCTGGCTTTAGTCTTACCGTTCTCCAATCAACCTACCTGGCATGGTACGACCTAAAGGAACATATGTTGCAGCTAAAATAGTTCGCTTGGTTCATCACGATAGTCAAGTCCGACCACCATGTCAAGTTAGCAGCTACAGTCTGGACTTATAATTTTATACAAAATTTAACAGTCTATCCTTCAAAACTACATTGACTAGATTTCATTACTAAGTATAGATGACTGTGTAGCTTGTAACAATATAGCGAGCCTGAGGGGCTTGTCGTAGCTTTCTGACAAACTGATCAATATTTTCTTCTCGAGTTATTATTGAAAAGTCTTTCGATCTTATCAATCATTCGCTGATTCACAAATATGCAAATTCACCCTGAATTGCCAAGTGTAATTTTTCATTGGTTCTCAGGAGAGCCTAACACTGCCCACGTGTTAACACTACAACGTGAATAGTACAGCTCAATCCTTTGGCGCAAGCACACAGATAACTGACACCCTGGTGGACCATTCATTCTCCTATACTTTGGTTGCTTTTATGAGAGTGTATATGTGCACGCTTACTTCGCTTACTACATACAGGTCAAGCATATTATTACCTGACCATAAATACTTGGTCATATCTCATTTCATTGAGTTGGTTCACTCGCCATCTCCACTTCGCTTCACTTTGCTTGTACGCTTTTCATTCTCATGTCTATCTGCATGAACGATTGCCTGAAATAAATTTATCCAATTAAATCCGGATTTGACTTCTTATTACCGCTGTCGTACAAATGGAGTTCACCTAAGTATGATTTATACGGAAATGGAAGGAAAGATTTATTTCTTGGCATGTTCAAGTGTCCGTCAGATCGCAGGTCAATAAAGCGCTGAGCCGTACTTCGAACTCGACGCAGCCACCATAACTTTTTCGTAGTTTGTCTAACAAAATACTCATGAAACATCAGTATGATGGTGTTTATTAAATCAACCACATGATGATTGCTTAACGAATTTAGAGACATAGAAAATCAGTGGAACAAGACTAAAGTCATGTTAAGCACCAAATTACTGTTAGTATAGGAAGGACTTCATTTACTTATTTACTTACTTACGTCTGTCACCCCCAATGGAGCACTGGCCGCCGACCAGTATTCTCCAACAGCAAGGACATCTTGGCGATCAAGGAAATTTCATGTTTTAGATCACTGAAAACCAACTGTCCAATAATTCCTAATTTTCAAAGGCTGTCTAACAATAGTCAGCAAAGTAGTTTTGAATTTTCTTCGATCAACATGAGCTCTCAAAATCGTTTGCAATGGCACAAGTACATCCACTCTTTGTGCTCTCTCAAATCCTAATCCTCCGGATTCTTCATCACCTTTGTCTTTCTCTTTTTAAGTTAATTTCACTAGATTCTACTTCATGAATGATATTCTGGAACCCTAATCTCTCCATTTACTGCTATTTCTTCTAATAACTCTACTACTACTGTGGTACGAGCTACTTATATATAGTATATGACGTGAGTGTCAACCTAATGTCTGGCATCAGAAGATGGGGGAAGATCAAGAAAGGAAGAGTTAGAAGAACACAATAGAATTTGTATGAAACGCATGAATAGTGACATTGGATTGATGATGCGATATGATGAACTGATATTTTGCAAATTAACGATTTACAATATGGTTTTCCAATTTTACTGAGTAACTCTGTAATTTTGCTAAATACAATTCGGTTTCCCCCACCTGTGTTCTCGTTCACTACACTCCTACTCATCGCTTGCCGAGGCAGTAGGTGATTGGGAATATGTAACCTCAACTTATGAAGACTCATTACTTCATCGATTGATCTGCCACCCTTATCTAGTACCCTTTTCATAACACCAGCATTGATTATTTGATGATCCTATGGTATACCAGCCATGCTTCGAACATACCTTTGATCGAATACTAGCAACTAATGAGTATCATCGTTTTTTATTGGTCACGTCTCACATATGTAATGTAGGACGGAGCGTTAGGCCATTTTACGGGAAGCCTTTTATGTGCTAGCTGCGCTCTTTAAAATGCCTTACCGTCAGAAACTGAAATTCATGAGGTGAGGTGAGGTGTGACATTTTCATGGTCAACCTTTCCTAACCCCGCCCTTCCTTGTGAGAAGGCAGCATCGCTGCAGATGCTGGTTTTTGGACAGAAACACCGTACAGCTTCTGTCACACCTCTCTACAGTTAGCAGTACGACTTCACCCCCAGACCTTAAGTTGCTGGCTTTAGTCTTACCGTTCTCCAATCAACCTACCTGGCATGGTAAGACCTAAGGGAACATATGTTCCAGCTAAAATAGTTCGCTTGGTTCATCACGATAGTCAAGTCCGACCACCATGTCAAGTTAGCAGCTACAGTCTGGACTTATACTTATAATTTTATACAAAATTTAACAATCTGTCCTTTAAAACTACATTGACTATATTTCATTACTAAGCTTAGATGACTTTGTACTTTGTGTAACAATATAGCGAGCCTGCGCGGTTTGTCCTCGCTTTCTGACAAACTGATCAATATTTTCTTCTCGAGTTATTATTCATAAGTCTTTCGATCTTATCAATCATTCGCTGATTCACAAATATGCAAATTCACCCTGAATTGCCAAGTGTAATTTTTCATTGGTTTTCAGGAGAACAAGATCCTGCCCACGTGTTACCACTACAACGTGAATAGTACAGCTCAATCCTGTGGCGCAACCACACACGTACCCGACACCCTGGTGGACCATTCATTAATTTATACCTTGGTTGTTTTTATTTGAGTGTATGCGTGCATGCTTAGGTCGCTTATTACAGGTCAAGCGTATTATTGCCTGACCATAAATACTTGGTCATATCTCATCGCATTGAGTTGGTTCACTCGCCTTCTGCACGCCGCTTTGCTTTAATTGTATGCTTTTCGTTCTCACGTCTGTATGCATGAACGATTGCCTGAAATAAATTTATCCAACTAAATCCGTATTTGGTTTCTGTCGTGCAAATGGAGTTCACCTAAGTAAGTTATAAGCGGAAATGGAAGGAAAGATTTATTTCTTGGCATGTTTAAGTATCCGTCAGATCGCAGGTTAATAAAGTGCTGAGCCGTACTTCGAACTCGACGCGGCCAACAAAACGTTTTCGTAGTTTGTCTAACAAAATACTCATGAAGCATCAATATGATGGTATTCATTAAATCAACCACATGATGATTGCTTAACGAATTTAGAGACATAGAAAATCAGTGAAACAAGACTACAGTCTTGTTAAGCACCAAATTACTGTTAGTATAGGAAGGACTTCATTTACTTATTTACTTACTTATGCCTGTCACCCCCAATGGAGCACTGGCCGCCGACCAGTATTCTCCACCAGGAAGCACATCATGGCGATCAAGGAACTTTCGTGTTTTAGACCACTGAAAACCAACTGACCAATAATTCCTAATTTTCAAAGGCTGTCTGGCAACAGTCCGTAAATAGTTTTAAATTTTCTTCGATCAACATGAGCTCTCAAAATCGTTTGCAATGGCACAAGTGCATCCACTCTTTGTGCTCTCTCAAATCCTAATCCTCCGGATTCTTCGTCACCTTAATCTTTCCCTTTTTAAGTTCATTTCACTAGATTCTACTTCTTGAATAATATCCTCGAACTCTAATCTCTCCGATTACTGCTATTTCTTCTACTAACTCTACTACTACTGTGGTACGAGCTACTTATATGTAGTATACGACGTGAGTGTCAACCTAATGTCTGGCAGCAGAAGAGGATGGGGGAAGATCAAGAAAGGAAGAGTTAGAACACAATGTAATTTGTATGAAACGCATGAATAGTGACAATGGATTGATGTTTTGCAACAGGAACAGTCCAGTTCGATATGATGAACTGATATTTTGCAAATGAACGATTTACGATATGGTTTTCCGATTTTACTGAGGAGCTCTGTAATTTTCGTTAAATACAATGCGGTTGCCCCACCTGTGTTCTCCTTCACTACACTACTACTACTACAGGATTTGAATTGAAAATGGTGTCTCTGTGCTAATGTGGTAAGGCAACTTGAACTGAGGTATGTACGTACAAATTTCTAAGTTGTAACTGACTGACTGACTAACTAATCAATATATGAGCATACATTGAGTCGTTGTCAAAACACATTTTCAAGTTATATAGATAGAGGTAAAATACACTTCTTGATGTAATTCAACTGTCGTCCATTTTCCAAATTTAATAAAACTATAATAATAAACATTGAACATTGACTTACATTTCTAATTTTTTGTTTTTTGCATGTTGCACATCAAGCGCTTTTTTCACTTTTCTCTGTAAATAGCAAATAATATTACACACCTTGATAAGAAATTGTCATCATCAATGAAATAATGATAATTTGCATTTTAGTGAAAGTATACAACCTGTTCGGGTGTAGACAGTAACTACTACAGAAAACTATGTACGAGCTTGCGCAACTCCGTGAATTGATCAAATTAGACATTAACACCGTTAGATACCGCCGGCTCAGTGGTCCGATGGTGAGGCGTTTGCGCACAATACCGAAGGTCCTGGGTTCGAATCCTGCGGGCTACAAGAGTCGTGGATGGGCACTGCTGAAGAGTCCCATACCAGGACGAGACGGCCGTCCAGTGCTTCCATGTCTCTACTGGTGGTCTACAATTGATCGATTCATGGTTTCAAAAATGTGTAACTTAACAACTTAACTTCACAACCCTGTAATGCAAAGTATACAAATGTTGAATCTTGGATTCAATCAATTTAGAAGCAGAAATCTTTGAGGTAATTTTTTTAAACAAATAAACGTATTACATAATATAATCTCACTTAAAATCCGAGTAAATCAACTAATCTTGATCTAGAAAAGTTTATGGAATACCTTTGTGACTAAATGTTTTTGTGGCTCATCACTTTGTCGCGGAGTTGGCTCCTTTATTGATGACGTTCAAGTATGCTATGAATTCAATCTTCCCTTACATTTCCATATATCATACATACTTAGGCGAACCTCGCTTATGCGACGGTGGTAATTAGAAGTTAATACTTTATACAGAAAGACATGACAATACATAGCTTGAAAGAAAAGCGAAGAGAAATGGAGAAGGCCGGCTAGTTAATTCAATGTATTGAGGTGTGGCTGAGCATGTGTAGACAGACAAAGGTTATCGAAGTAAGCACTGCACACACATATTTGAATCGAAACAACCAAGGTTACAAAGTTGAACGACGACTGAATAGTAACTTTGAAAAAGTGGATCAGTTAATTTGTCCGAACGTGTGAGACAAGCCCTCTGATCTTGACGTAAAAGTATACACACATACACACATATCAACTCCAAATTTTTTATGAATGATACATAATTCACCAGATGAATAGCAAAATAGTAGGAGTAAATGTATTATCAATCGTTCTGAGAAAGACTAGACGTTAAGAATATGTCAAAAGGTTAAGTGTTCGTGCGTAAGACCAAAAGCCCTTAATTCAAAAACCGCATTCAGGTATCATAGATGCGCACTACTGATAAGTCTCATACTAAGATCGGACAGCTGTTCAGCGCTCTCAGGTTTCTAATGGCTGTCTAAGACTGGTCGATTTATGATTTTATTGCTAAGAATATGGTTTGTGTTGGAATAAAAAGATATTATTGACGAAGAACTAAGATAACATCAAGGGTGAATGTGCATTCGCGACGGAGATCAATTATAAGTCATGTTACTCAACGCTTCCTATCACTAGTCTTGTTTACCCGGTAAACTCCAACCATGGATTCAGCGTATACAAACTTCACTTCTATACACTTATATCTAACCTCTAAGGACCAACTACTTTGAACAATCAATGTAGACGAACATCGACTTTTTCTGTGTCGATTCGATCGATAATGCAGAATGTCTAGTCAAATTCTAACTAGACTAAATAAGACTTATTTGGCTTACTGGAGGAGATTTATTGAACTAACAATTGTATTAAAGAGTAAAGCATATAGTAAGCTTCTGAACTATCAATAAGACCATAGACATAAGACATCTTAGATGGCTAGGAAAAATGAAGGGTACACAGTGAAGAATTTTAGTGCACATAAATGACAGTAGTAAACGTTTTTTGATAATTAAAAAGTGTTAACAGCTGCAAGAGAACTTTGGGTTGCTCACCAGTCAGAAACAATTTCAATCTGCTAACCACAGATTCGTTACTTACAGTTTTTACATTCTGACGTGCTCTACTTTCAACAACAAACTAGAATAGCTCACTCCTAATGAAACCATATGCTTTAAACATGCAAGATCAAGAATAAATCCTAAACAATTTGATTGAGGGGGAATTGGGAGATTATATGAACTGACTAAATATATTTCCCAGATAGTGTTCTGTTTGTCTATCAGTGGAAATATCAAAAGTAATCAACTGTAGTCAGTTTAATGACGAAACAAATAGTCTGCTTCACAACATCATGTTCCCCAGACTGGCTAGATTCCTTTATCATGAAGATTTTTTACTTCCAAGTTCAAGTAAACTTTAGATTCTGTTCTATATGCGAATTACATGATTGATAAAATGGCCGGGAGTTATTATCAACACCAAACATCCGCTTCATTCTGAAAGTTCGTTTCACGCAAACTAGTCACGTTTATTTTCTAATACAAATTCGATTACTTTAAAACTAATGAGTAGTAAAAAATGAGTCAAATAAAATATTTCTTTAAATTAATACTCACCGTTTCTTCTTCCAATTTAATAACTTTTCTTACTGCATTTTTACGTTCTTCTGTTATTTCTGAATTCAATTGATCCAATAACTTTTGAACTTCTTTAGTCTGTACAAGAAAAATGCATTTTTTTCTGATAACAGAGTTGCTAACAATTGCCAAACATCGAAATAAGAATTTCTGTGAAAAAAGACTATTTTCAGTGGGGAAAAATTTAAAATGTATGACTTGTCACATTATTTTATCAATGGCGGATTTATCTCAAACTCGAATGTTTCGAACAATGGTGAATTGTCATTTCATGGAGAAAAATCAATGTTCTAAAATAGAAGCTAACTGATTGCTCTACATCCTTAGACGATATGGTTGTGATCAAAATAAGTTGTTTACAAAACAGGGTGTAAAGTAAATGTGTTTATTCTCACATTCTGACAATGACTTAAACCATACCCTTTAATTCCAATTACTAAATTAGTTCTATTCAACTGTCTAGTATGTACATTGAACCAAGTTAAAGGAAGTTTTGGATGAATATTTCATTTATTTTGGTGATTATTACAACAGATCACTTCCCTGACATGTTTCGACACTGGTTTATTATGCCTTAAATTCTAGTGGGCGTCATTCAAATCTTTAGCCAACGATGTTAATATTGAGTTTCGCATAAATAACCTTTACTTTCTTGGTGTCTTCTCGTGAGCATCGCACATTAACTAAATCTACCCTAAAAATAAATTGTAACACTTTACCGATGACTGCTTATTGTATTTACATCATCATTGTGTCAAAATACCTATTTGATATGTTAGCTATTCTGATTAAGACCTACACTATTGACTAGTAGAATTTGATTGTAAACAATGTGGTCTCGTGTGTTTTTATATATGAGGGTGGATGATACTTATCGGCAGCCCACACCAAAGAAGGGTTCTGGTTGTCGGTAAATGCGATTCTTCCCGTCGTAATGCGAAATGTTGCTTTAGGATTGGTTTTCATCGGCACCTGAACTTGTGATAGGGAGTGAAGGTGTTGAGCGTGTAGATCGCTTTATTTATCTCGGGAGTTTCATCACTGCTGATGGCCTGGTGACTGACGAAGTCTCAGCTCGGATACAGAAGGCTCGATTGGCTTTTGCCAACCTGCGTCACTTATGGCGTAGGCGTGATATCCGTTCTCTAACTAAAGGACGAGTCTACTGTGCAGTAGTTTGCTCCTTTCCACTTTATGGCTGTGAAACATGGCCAGTCAGAGTAGAAGATATTCGTGAGTCACTTGTTTTCTATCACAGGTGTCTCCGAAGCATTGCTGGTGTACCGAGTCAGCAATGCTGTTGTTAGGAAACAGGCCCCAGGTAAGGATGATACATCAACAGATGAAGAATTGAAAATTCCTCAGTTGAGGTGGTTGGGACATGTGTTACGTATGCCTAACCATCGACTGCCTCATCGAGCTATGCTTTGCTTATGTAGGAATAGGTTGGAAGAAAGTTAGGGGCGGCCAAACCAAAACATGGAGCAAATTCATGGAGTGACTGACAACTGGAATGAGTCATGCCAGTAGGTGTCGACTACCTGCTTGGGGTCCGCGAGATCATAATAAACGATGGTTAGAGACCTTGAATGACAAGGCTCAAAACCGTTTGCAATGGAGCAGGTGCATTCATTCTTTGTGTTCTCTCAAATCCTAACCTTCTTAATTCCTTTTCACAGTTATCCCTGTATTTTTAAGTTTATTTCACTAGATCCTACTTCTTGAATAGTATCTTCAGACCCTAATCTCTCCGATTGCTGCTAATATCTTTAATACCCCTTCTACTTTTGGATTGGAAGTGAAAATTATGTCTCTGTGCTGTGGTATGACAACTTGAGTTGATGTACGTACGTATGAAGTTCTACGTTGCTGTTAACTGACTGATTGATTGATTGATTGATTGATATTGACTAGTGTAATTCAGAGTAATCACTTATAATTTTAGAATTCCATTCCACAATTACCCCATTTACTTTTCATCATAACAAATCACTTAAATTTAATTCACATTACAAATAAGTTTTTTAAATTTATATATAATAGTCTACAGAAAAATCAAATTTTTAAATCATTTTTCCCACTTAACTAGGAAAAACAAAAAACATCAAATTTTTAAAGAATTGAACATTGTATGCTGATTGCCTTACCTTGAATTCAGTCATTTCAATTTCTTCAAATTTTTCATTTAAAAATATTTGTTTATTGGCTTTATTATTTAAACAATCATTTAAAGTATCAAGTGTAACACTATTCTCTTCGGTTGACTTTAATTCATGAAGTCTAAATATAAAACAAATTTCAAGTGAAAAGAAATTAATGAACAATTTTATAACGATTGATTAACAATGATTCATTTATGATTTCAATATGTTGTAAAAACAACAATCCCCATGTGGTGCGAGCTACTTATAAGTAAGTAGTATATGACGTGAGTGTCAACGTAATGTCTGGTGGCAGCAGAAGATGGGGGGAAGATCAAGAGAAAGGAAGAGTGGGGGGAACACAATATGGAATTTGTATGAAATGCATGAATAGTGAGTGAAATGTCAGACAATGGATTGATGATGATTGATTGAAGATTTGTAAATTAACAATGGTTTACGATATGGTTTTCCTATTTTACTGAGTAACTCTGTAATTTTCGTTAAATACAATTTGGTTGCCCCACCTGTGTGTTCTCCTTCACTACACCCATAATACTATATTAATGTGCTTATTAGTGATTAGCTTCATGAAGAATTTCTAGGAGTTCTACTAGTGAGATGTGTATGACCAGTGGAGTAGTTCAACCCTATCGAATGTAGGCAAGTAACTACCAAAGACAATGGGTAAGGTAGCGCAAAATCATTCGATTTGACGGCTCAATGGTCCAAACGTTAAGCGTTCGCGCGCAAGACCGAAGGTCCTGGGTTCGAATCTTGCGATTAGCAGGAGTCGTGGATGCGAACTACGGATGAGTAATCCCAAACTAAGATGAAACGGTCGTCTTTCAGCGCTACCAGGTTTCTAGTGGTGGTCTAACAATCATTGGTTGATGATTTCAAATGTGTAAAAAACAATAATCTCCATAACTCTAATTGAAAAATAAAAGATATATGATTAGTTAAACTTTGATAATGACCGCTTTTTTTAGGTTTCTGCAACTTATAGAAAGATTTTAATTCAGCACTTTCGGTTTAATCGTGAAGATTGTTATCACAAGGTTTAGAAGGTTGAGATGTTCAAAATTCAAGGTTAACAGATATGACTCCTACCATACACTTACGCAAGAGACATTTTACCCCTTTCTAAGGCTCGAACCACTAAAACTTGCATATTATGATACAACTCAATCACTTTACAACAATCTAATTACTAAATACTTCAGTGAATACTGTAAGCTGGAATACCGTAGCTGCTACCTTGAGGTGGTGGTCGGGGTTGCTTATCGTGATGACCCAACTGAGCTATACTGGCTGGAACATATGTTTTTGAAGGTTCTACCATGCCAGGCAGGTCGATTCGAGAGCGATGAGACTAAAAGCAGCTACTCAAGGTCTGAGGGCGAAGTTGTACTGCTGACTGACTGCAGAGGGGTGTGACAGCAACAGTGAGGTGTTTCCCTTGGACAACCAGCATCTGCATCGACGCTGCCTTCTGACAAGGAAGGAAGGGTGAAAAGGTCGACCCTAAAAATGTCACACCTCACCCTACCTCACGGATTTCCGTCTCCTTGGGTAAGAGTGCCCACTAAGGGCTTTCAAGTGCGGAGCTAACACTCAAAAAACTTCTCATAAAAAGGCCGTGCGTGACCGGCCTCAAGCAGTTGTCCCTTGGACTCTGCGGTCACTCTCCCAGGTCTCTAAGACCAACACTAATCTATCTTCCTTTTCAGGTTCCTCAAGAAACACTCCTCCATGGTGTGGGCAGCCGGGAAATGGCAACCGCCCTCAAACTCGTAACAGCACGAGAAACCAAACTGGTCAAAATTAAATCAAATCCTTCTTAAACTTGATGAATAGACCAATGCAACGCATAGTTCAGTAGCATGAGCAGGGGAGGTTAGCTAAGAAAAGTGTTAAAGGGCGTTTTTTCCTACTAATTAAAATCTTATAACCCATCTCAAAAAAATATTTACCATAAAAAAGTGTTACAAACAGATTGAAATACAAAACTGAACGGTTGGAAAGTAAGTGTCTAAATTAACAAAACCTCACAATCTATACAACAAACATTAGATGTAACATAATGAAATTCGTGGATCACCAAAAAACAGATATTGAAGACGAAAATATTTCCTAATAAATAAATTATTTGATCATTGAACTTAATTTAATGTTAAAGGATAAAAGAATTCATGGCAGATGTTAGTTAAAAAATAATTTAACTTTGAAAAATGTTTAACAGCATTATTTAAAATTAATTCGTTTTACTGAATTAATTTTGTCAATTTAGAAGGAATCATTCATTTAAAATATTCCTTTTTAAAACTAATTTTAGTCTGACATGTTTATAAACTGGAAATCGTAAAAGGAATAAGTTGAATCATGAGTATATGTTTAGAATGAAGTAAAGGAAATCAAATCAATCAGTTAGCTACACCGTAGAACTTCGTACATGAGTACATAAGTTCAGGTTGCCATACTGTATCAGCACAGAGACGCAACTGCCAGTTCAAATCCCATAGTGGGAGCGATAGCAGAAGTATTAGCAGTAATCGGACAGATTAGGGTTCGACGATATCATTCAAGAACCAGAATTCAGTAAGATAACTTTAGAAAGAGAAAGACAGAGATGATGAGGAATTCGGAAGACTTCAGTTTGAGAGAATACAATGAAAGAATGCACCTCAGCTACTGCAAACGATTCTGAGCCATGTCGTTCAAGGCCTCTAACCATTGGTGACTTTCGTCTCGCCGACCCCAACCAGGTAGTCTACATCTACTAACATGACTCAATCCAGTTGTCAGTGACTTCATGGAGTTCTGCTATGTTTTGGTTTGACCGCCCCTAACTTTCTTCCAACCTACTCCCACTCGTCGAGGTAGTCGGTAGTTAGACAAATCAAAATTAGTTAATCAGTAAAATACAACCATGCCTAATGTAAGGGTAACTTTAATCTCGCTAAATATACATCTTAAACACAGAACATTAAACTAAACTTTACCTGAAGAACAATTTGTTTGAAAGACACGTATATATATATATATATATATATATATATATATATATATATATATATATATATATATATATTTGTTCAGAAAACTATGGTTAGATATTCAAGAATGCTATACTATTGAAAGAGATAGACAAGACTTGGTTAAGATTAGACTTATCACAAAATCTGTATATAAGATTATTGAAAACCCGAAATATCATTATTATACAGCAATGTAGAATTCGATTTAAAGGATGATTTGCCTAATGTATCTTCAAAGCTAAAATTATTGCGAGCAGAACTGCAGTATGAATAATAGGTGAAAGGAGAACATGAGTGGATGCTAATACTATAACATTCACACTAGATAATTTATTCTAATACCTTGCTTGACAAAAACCTACATTTCTAAAGGTCAAGAGCATAAATAGATTACAAGTATTTGATCTCACAGGTCTTAATAACATATTCCATGTGTATTTAACTGTATAAGTAATGAATCTACACCTTAATTGTAGAACACTGAGTAGATATGACAAGTTGGTTAATCAAAGTGAACTTTAGTTAAAAGTTTTATCATCATTTCATCATTAAAAATGATTTAGAAATATATACTTCAGTGAAACCAAAGGTGATGGCAGTCATAATAAGTATGATATAATATTATTCTTCATATGTTTTTAGATAATGAATCTTTGAAAAAACGATTATTTGGATTGTTTAATTTCTGCCAAATTTGTTAATCAGTTGTTTAAGTTCTCCAAGGATATAAAGGAAAAGATATTAAGGATTGTCGAATTTGTTTACTTAGACAGGCCTTCTTGTAGTTCCTTAAAAATCAACGGTGTTCATAAACATGTATGCATCTTAATAAGCCTTCTAATGTAAGTATATTTCTGAAGATAAAACTCTTTTCAAATGAAATTAAGGTGAGAAAATGAGATTGAAATTTGCTCAGTGCAAACTGGAATCTAGTTTCCATCATAGATTTCAGAGAAAAGCAGCGTGTGATAATATAAATTATAAACTTACTCCTATTTATCCTTTTTTTATGACTGAATTACTGTGAATGTCATCATGAACTGTATTTAGTGATGGCTGTTGGTTACTTTCTTAGACTAGCCCTGATGCGTTAGCTGAGGGTCTAGGCAGATAATCGCAGATCAATTATGTTGCAGAAGGTGTTATACATTAAATAAAGTAGGAAAGCTTCTACCAGGGCACGATTAAGTGAATATCTCAATAGAATATGACTAATTCTAGTAACTCTGATGTTCATTATCAGTAATCGAATTGAAAAACCAACAAATAGTGTAGTATCCGGTAAAGGCTTTAGAATATTGTAGTTTTTAAACAAAGATTTGCTAAAGTCAGGTCAGAGTACATTTTGAAGTTTATGCTCATTAAGTATTTAACGATGTTAAAAATATAGGATTCACTAAATAGCCCTACTTTTCAAAGATAGAAGCAGCAGTAACAAAAATGATAAAGGAGCATTTAGCTCGTTAATGAAACGGCCTTTCTGTTGTTTTCGATTATTACTTTTTTCTATATGTTAAAAATGGAATACTTACTGATATTTAACATCCCAAAGGCAATTGTATCCTAATTAGTCATTCTCACCAAAACAGTGACAGAGACTAACTATGTCAGTGGAATATTTCCATGTCGGTTTTCTTACATTCCAATTGATGACAATTATGCTTTTAAAACTAATTTTTAGTGACAGATTATATTTTGACGTGTTTTTGCTGTTCTCAAAGACCGATAAATAATAAGTCAAATCAAAACTCAAACAATCAAATCGGTTGACACGTGTAACGATAGTGTAAACACAGCCTAAATGAACACAGTATTGGATTAGCATCAAAATCAGACTTTTTTGAAAGTGTATTAAATCAGTAAGCACATTAAAACTAGTAGAATGCCTGTCAGTTTTATTTGAATTATAATACTTCAGCATTGCATTCAGATGAAGTAAATGCAGACGTACTCTGTGCGGATCTGATTTTGATTGCACTGAAATAAGTTCAGAACAAGTGTCTAGTAATTAAAATGCATCCAGTTGAAATAGATAGGAAGAACAATACATTAGAATTGATAAACAGATAGATAGATAAACAACCAAAATTATATTGGAAATGAACACAAAAGATACCGTTAAAAAATAGTTATTAAGTTTAGTAGTCAAACGCTTTGTATGAGTATTGCGTTGGGCGAATTTCAAAAGTCCATGCTAATTATGACATGAATTATGGATTTTAATGACTTGTAAAGGTTGAGTTGTAAAGTTGTTGAATAATTTAGTCAAATGCATTAACTAACTGAAGATTCAACACACATAAACCCCAATCAATCCACCAGTACTTTGGCCTGTTTCTCCAGCCGAAAAGAACATGCCGAAGATAAGGACTTTTATCAAGCTATATTTAAGAACACCCTTAGATATTTGAAATATTTATCCTAACATGAAAAGCTAAGATGAGAAGAAAGTGAGCACACCAAATGGAATAAGTTAGAACAAGAACGAAATACTTGACCGAACCTTTTCAACTCGTCACCTGTGTCGGAAGCATTTTGAAGTGTAAAATGAATGGATATGAGCTGTAAGACTTTCCAGATCGTCAGACTTTAAGGCTAGAAGAAACAAACTCATATGTGAACCGATTCGTAATTATAAATCAACGTTTCTTGAAAAATGTTAAAATAAAATTTAAACAATATCAAACCTTAATAATTTCAGTATACGAGTAAGTCGTTCAAGTGCTTGCTCATTTTCCTCATAAGTATTTTTGATGGAATTCAGTGAATCTTCTAGGTTCTTCAATTCTTTTTCGTTCAGCATTCTTACAAGATTTCTTTTGTCTTCAGAACTGAAATGATAAGAGTTAAACGTATTCTTACCGAATATTTCTTCGATCTTTTGCTTTTTAAACTCCTGAAGCTTAACCCTCAAAGCAGATGCTTTAATAGACTCGGTTTCTAGAATCTGACGAGCACAGCATCTTATTTTATTCTATCATAAATCATAGAGTCGTAAATGAACTTACAAGTGATCTTAGATCATTTATTAATGACTTGATATTATCAACATCTCTTTCTGTTATAGACTCAATATTTCCACTTTGAACAGTTGCATCTGTATGAAAGATAAATACGGATAAATTTATAAATACATATATTTTTAAGTAAAGAGATAGCATTCTGAGATATATTAGTGTGACTAGATCCGAGTGCTTCATTCATATGCCCATCCATTTTTGAAGAAATGCCAGAGTTTGTTACCAGGTGACGAAAGCTTCAAACAGTTACAGATTTAAAAAGACATGAGTCTAGGTGGCGTGTTTTAGTCCCAGCAATGATGGTCTTTTAGCTGAACGAACAATTTTCGGGTGAGCGAAAGATGGAGCTGTTAAGGTAACGAGTTCCACTCGTCGGTGGTAAAGTTCAAAATCCGAGCTAGTACAAAGCTCGCTTTTTGTTGCTTTGGTACGGTTCCAGAAATCCGGTTATTTTTAATGGATGATAGTCTAGCCACTCAATTGCACTAATTCCAGTCAGTTCTTTATTGATTTGAATGTCCCTTGATATAAGTGATTGCGTTTGTCTCATGACAGTATGATTTATGGATGCCAGATGCAATCATATTAGAAGGTAGGAAATCAGTTAGTTTCAGCATAGAGAATAGTCAAGAGAAAGTTCTAATGTTAATGAGAAGGTCTTAGAAGCAAATTAAAAAATAAGTTGATCAATTGTTAGTGAAGATAATGTGAGAGGACCCAATCTAAGCAAAGAAGAGCGAACAGAGATAATTAGCAAGCTAGAATAAGTTAGTGATCTGGGAAAAATGACAATGGCAACAATGAACTGTATCAAACACAAATGGTTCAAGCAAGGCATGATAATCCGTGTGCAATTACGTGTTTGTCAAGCCTCTTCTTGGAGCTATCCACAAAGGAGGTTACGGTCACTCCAAGTAAGGACAACTTTTATTGAGAAAAGATGGGTTTGTGGCTGCGTGTCTGCTCTTTGATTTGCAGCTGTTCGAGAGTTTCATAGAGCGGTATGGCGGTGATGTTTGGGAAAGATACTGGTTTTCTGATGATTCAGCGTTCTTAATGTGTGTTGTATGTCATCAGATCGCCTCTGATTCTGAGAATCGTGCACTTAGTTTTCATAAAGTCCATCTTCTAACCTGTCACCCATTTAGTTGTTCACCTCTGCACTCGTTTCGAGGGATATATATCTCTTCCAAGGAGAGGGGGTGCGGCGACATTATGAACCTCAAGGTATGGCGGTGTGTGTTGTACAGGGAGTTAATAACAATTCTGAGCTGATTGCTTCGAGTTATTTTCGCATCAGGGGAAGATTTGCGTTCTCCCAGTCTGCATCCCCACTGCAGTTCTAAGTCGTATCCAGGCCCTGTGTGGTTATTAGACAGAGATCGCGCTTTCAGGAGACTATAGAACACCATTCGTTGCCACAACTTCTATATTACTCGAAATATTTAGTAATTGATACAAATATAGCCCATTTCGCCATCAAGCTATTTAAACAGTTAATCAACAAAGTTAGTCAAATGACTATCTGCATAGGTGGTAAGCAATGCTCAAGCACATATGCGAATACAAGCTCCACAATGATAAAAGTACAAAATATGTTTGAGATGTTGCATGTTCATGACGTGACGTATCGATTGACTAAAATTAACCTCTCGTTCACTACCGATTCTATTGTTTTAAGATCATTTCGAAGTTCAACTAAATCATCTTCGCTCCCTATTGACCCTCAAAACTTTGCATTGTCTGAACAGACTAATGCCACTGACCTGATTTTGCCTAAGTCATGAATAACCATCACGGAGAGGAGTGGACTTAAAATGGTTCCGTATGAATTCCATGGAGTGAGACTTGCCAACTCGTGTGCTCTTCACTTCCATTGGTACGAGGCTTAAGGTAGTTTATGACCGTCATTTGACCGTATTCATTTGACGAGACCATGATTCTTGCGTCCTTTACCGCAAGTCGTCGGCTGGGATCAACAGACACTAATGTGTGTTATATTTGGCCTCCTTACTGCAGTCTTACTGACCAAGGACATCTCTCACAACCACTTGTGGAACTAGGGAGATCATTCCGCATGCTACATCAAGGAAGAAGCGCTCTATGTAGGTATGCCATGTTTCTGAAGCTTGATGGTCATTAGATGTAATGGACGGGACAGTTGGAAAATTGTAATTGCTATAGTAGTGTGAAGGCCGATACTAATTGGTAGATACTGCCATCCTTGCAAATCAGGTGCATAAGCTTCATCCAAGCCACCACTAACTAGATCAGGCACTCTGTGAACCGCCACACTAGTTTGTTCTTGGTCGCCTACTGATGTTCTAGCGGCTACTCGTACTGAGCATAGTTCTTCCTGCCCAAATTAGATTACTGAGGGCAGTTAAACCGAAGGTCCCTGAGATATTAATAGTTGTTCGGTAACCTGTTCCGGGTCTAAATTTGCTCTCATTGGGGAAGAAAATATCCTTAAAGCCAGTGCAAGGTTACAAATATGAGTCGCAGACGCGGTTAACAAGGAAAAGTATTATCAATATCATCGATTATTTACATCCCACTAGATCATCAGGAGCCGTAAGCAGACAAAATGTTCTGCCCCACAGGTATGAGTAGATTGAGGTTATCGCCCCACCGTCACGAACGCTGTTCAGATGCTCCAACCTCCCTCCTTTTGTGATGTTAGGCTGTCTTACGTTTTATGATAGATTTTAGGTAATATCTTTTGGTCTATACTCTAAATTTTGTGCACCCCATCGAAAACCACTTTCTCTATCAGCTCAACTTTACAAGCAAACCAGACAACTTTGGCTTCTGCATGTTGCAATAAATATCCACGTAGCTTACCTCCCTGCTGTTAAGTTAATAAATGGTAAAAATTGTAAGATATGGGTCTGCTATCAGGTAGGTGGTTGAAAATGGCGTGAAAAATTCATCAGTAGAGTGATCAGTTGGTAGGAAACAAGGTGTCTGGATGTTGATGAATTAAGAAAATATAAATTTATTAAATTGTTAATATGTGAATGTAAGAACCAAACGGTTTGAATTGAGGAATGATTGTCCAGGTAATTCAGGCACTTGTCTTGCCCAGTTTAAATCCAAAACAAGTGATCTGGGTAAGTAACGGTTCTAATATTAATCATAAATATACATATTACCTAAAAAATATTACCATGGTTACTTCAATAATAACAAAATTTTTTTCCAGTTCTGGAAGAATTCTCCAATCCACAGTCTAAATGCACACTTCCAGTCAGTCCACCCAGAGGAGGAACAAATCAGTATGGCTGTCGCCATAACTGACTATCAGCTTGAACAACATAATGCAGTTCAGAAAGAAACTTAGAAGCTCAGTAGAGGTACAAAAAATAGAAACTGTAATAAAATACAAATATTATCATCTCAAAATGGAATCAAACAGATTTAAAAAATGTAGGGCTGAAGTTATCAATAAAGACATTACAACTGTACACATGGAGGCATTTTCACAAACAAAGCTTTCCGAAATGGATCTTACAGTGAACAAGGAGGAGCTCACAATGATACAAGAAGTTTAGGTTCCTTATAATTGACGGTAGCTGAGTAGCATCTACAGGCTTTTCAGTTTGCTCGTCTACTATAAATACAAAGTTAAAGTGCTGTGAAGATAAGAAAACAATGAGTCGGATTTAAATTTTGAGGGTAGCAACTAGAAAATCTTTTAATAAGGCATACAGTTACTGAAATATTTCATGAGATTCATTGGATTCCTATAGATGGAGAGTAAAATGCGAATAATTGGCGCGAGTTACGAAGGTTGCGTTACAACTATCATCTTATCGACTGCGAAACGATTCATGGTAGAGACAGGTTTGCATACAACAAAAATTGATGCGGTTAATGTACAAAGGTCTGGTTGATATTCATCAGCCCATGATTTCACATGTTCCTGAGTAGGGTAACCAAGTCTACTGCAAATGTCCAGACTAATATATGAGGATTGGAATAAGGTGCTGAAAAAAGAGAAATAAAGAGAACGGGACAAGGGGCAGAACAGAAAATATCCTTGTTTAAAGCTAAAAAACAACTCAGCACATACTGTTTGGATAAACGTGTCTAGATTCTAACTACAGCATTACTAGCTTCCTAAACCTGGTGGTTGTATCAGAGATACGGATAGTAATTGATAATCTGTTCCACCATAGACTATGTTGCGTTACAAAGAAATTACACCGCAATGCTTTTTTGTGTTTTGTCGTTAGCAGTGTATATGAGTTGTTTCTGAGTCTGTAAGCAGTGCCGTGGTTCATAACTGGCAGGTATTTTACAAAATTATTTTGTGGAGGAGTATTAGGTTGTTTTTAAACCGGCACCGCCATAGAGAAAGATTTTTGCATCTTTCTGTTTGGTCGAGATTGTGGTTCTATCCTAGCAGTTGCCGAGTGAATCTTGTTTGGACGCTTTCTACCAATATCCTATGGACAATATTCATGTCTGAGAAGATAAGTGAGTAGTATTCGAATGAGGGCCTTATACACACTTCGAAGAGTGTAAGTCTAACCTTGTTTGTTAAAAAGTCCTTATTCATTAACCCTATTAGCCATCTAGATTTAGAGATAATACAAGAGGCATGTTCTTCAAATTTTAGGCTTCTGGAGTTACAAATACCCAGATCATGCGCTGTTATGAGTATCTGCACTTTTGTAAGTAGAGTGGTATTTCATGGTGGTGCTTACTAAAATACATGATGTCTCATTTTTTGTGATTAAAAGATAGCTGCCATGTTTGGCTCCAAATAGATAAGTTGTCAGGGTCCCTCCGAATCCTGGCTATATTTTCGTTCAGATCTTCAGGCTTTTATCTGTATACTATTTTTAGATCGTCTGAATTTAATTGCGATCTTCTAAATCCTATAGTTTTACGTATATCGTTTATGTACATCAGAAACAAGAGTGGACCTAATACACTTCCTTGGATAACTCAACCAGTTATTGGTCTTGCTGATGAAAGGCAACCTTTGTATTTAACCATTTGTTGGCGTCCACCAAAGAATGAAACAAACTGAGAATATAGTGGGTTACTGATCCCGAATGGCTTTAGTTCAAGGAGAAGCCTTTTATTTGTGACCTTATCAAAAACTTTCTTAAATTCAAAGAAAAGGACTGATACTAGAAGCCCTTTGTTCATTTGGACAGCACGCCTCGACACATATTTCAGTCGTCGTTACTAATGAGGAGAAGCCGTTGCAATTATGAAGTCTGGAAGCATATCTTCGAAGACCTTTTCGTATATGACTTGGTATATATAAGTCCTAAGGAGTTAATAATAATAATAATAATAATTTTTTCTCAAATAACAAACATGTTACAAGAGACATGCCAATTTACAGGCAAGATCAAAATGTTAAGATTAGCAACATATTTTTTTCTGAAAACGGTATAAAGTTACTGAAACATTTCACAAGATTCATTGTTTTCTTAAAGATGGAATGTACAAAGCGATCAATTGGCGCAAGATACGAAGGTTGCGTTACGACAATCATCTTATGGGCTGAGAAATGATTCATGGTACAGACAGGTTTTCATATAACAAGAATTGATGCGGTAAATGTACAAAAGTCTGGTTGATATTCGTCAGCTAATGATTTCACATGTTCTTGGCTAGGGTAACCAAGTCTACTGCAAATATCCAGACTAATATATGTGGATTGGAATAAGGTTCTGAAAAAAGAGTTCTGGGTCTCCAGGATCCTAAGGGTGCAAATTTACTGAAGATTTTAATGATGCTGTGATAAAATACATTTATCAGTCCATCGGTATTATTTACGGAAATTTCCGGAAGTCTAACCAATCTATCCTACGAAGTGTTGTGGATTTACGTTTTGTCGTTGTGGCTTCTATATCAAGACTGCATATGACGATATTATGATCCCTACCTGGGAATATTTTTCCAACATATACAGTTTTAGAAATGAGACTGCTGGTGAAAAATAAAGCCAAGATATTTTGATGTCTTGTTGGGCCGTCAACATGTTGAGTCCTCTTTCTAAGCTCGAACCATTCAATAAATGATTAAAGTCGTTTGGATGCTTTCATTCTGAACCAAGAGATTTCCTGCATGTAGCAGTCCCCACAAATAGCCTTGCCTGTAAGCCGCAGGGATGAAGCAAACGTGAATACTTCTGAAAATATTGCTGGATCTCCTGTTGATACTTTGGAATGACAGTAAGCACAGCCGAACAGTTAGGAAACTGAATTTGAGGGTTTCAAAACAATCAACATAGTATCTTGTAATTTGTTTAGTTCACACATATCACATAAGAGTGGGCATATATGAGCGATCGTCCACCTATTCCTTGTAACCTATCACTTTTAATTAGATCTATGGGTTATATTCTTATATTCCCATAATTTACTTTAATTTTACCTGTTCATCGCAGCTGGGAAAGTCCCGGGTAAACTGATTCGAATCCTACCCATTTTTTATTTGAGACCCAGGGTTTAGTCTGTTTACTATTTCCAGTTGGAGAATGTTTTTGTACCCCAGACGTGTATTTTGATAAAAATTCAAGTTCTTATGGGTACTCTCGTGCAATATATTTTGGGGGTCTGGTCTTTAATTTATTAATTTTAACTGGAATCGTGTTGTTTTGTGAGACGTATTCAAGCAATTTATCTTCCGAACACCCTGAATTAGAAATGCATGTGTCGTTAAATTTCTCAACGACAGTTGCGATTGGCACTGTGATTAAAAATTCAGAGTCCATAGACTCATCAAGATCTACAGGATGTTTTATGACATTGAGAGTTGCCTCCAGTAGATTGTCTGCTGTGACACATTCATGCGATCTTGTCGCCTCTCGTCTTTCTATACGACGTCGAAAAGGCGTTGGATCTGGGGCAAACTTTATGTCTTGTACAGGGTTGATGAGTTAATATTTCTGCCCGAATGGATAAATTGTTTGGCCTCGTTACAGCAGCCAAATCTGAACATAAGGGGTCAAGTTGGCTTATCAGACTTTTTCTGAGTCATATGACCTGACAACTGACGTTTGCCATACCACACGCTTGAATACAGGTATCTCTTAGCGTAGTAGAGAAAGTTGGGTTTTTCAGCTTAATAATAATGACAATAATATTTATTCTCGAATAGCAGTATTCTACAGGAGGTGTGCCAGTTTACAAGCAAGATCGAATTGATACAAAAGCTACCACACTTACTAAAGCAGGTTGCACTGTCAGATTAATGACATTAATAATAACAATTTATTCTCAAATAACGTTTCCTAAGAGGAATGTTACTTTTTAAGCAAGATCAAAATGTTAAAATTCCTTGCATATTTACTGTAAAAGATTGTTCAGTTAGATCAACATTTCACAAGATACACTGACATTTTATAGAGGGCTAATATTTTAAACATTAGTATTTTAAGTGTTGCGGCCTTAGGAGTATACAACTGAATAGTTGATGCGAGTTATGTCGTTTGCGTTGTGATGAGCCACTTTTGGTTAAGGTAAAAACAAGTTAAATCCAGGGATGTTTCTGAAAGCGAATTTACACCACGCCACCGATGTAACAAGTGCACGCCATTCTACAGACATGATCAATTAGGTACAGCTACACACTCAGCACGCGATTATGAAAAGGATAGGTACCCAGCAGAGTTACTAAGTGGCATTCATAATTTAGAAATGACTCACAAGACATTGTTTAAGGAGACTTACTTTCAGAGTACTAGTGTAAGTAAACCGGGTATAACGTTCATATCCCTAGCAGTACACAGGATTACTTCAGACAGGATAGTTAGTTGACAAGTAATTTCTTCCGGGAATTTGAACATTTTCAGTGTATTCTAATGAATGCTCTTTTAGAAGCCAGGAAAAATGAGTGCATGTTGCATGCAAATTGACCGTTCGGCAAATTAAAAACTGTGGTCAAATCACTTCTCGTCTTTCTATATGACAGAGGAAACACGTTAATTTTCGCCATCCCTTATCCAAACGGTAGTTTTGCGTTTCCGGAAATGAGCATAGTTGTGGTACTTTGAATTGCTTTCAATATCCAATGTCTATTTGAGGTGGTTGGTTGCTATTTGCATGCAGTGCTGGAGTTTAGGATGAAGAAATACTGTGCATGAAAATTTCTGGTATCATATAGCTCTTTGTTCTGCGAACTGGTCTTAGGGTTTGAGTGCACATAGCGAAAACCGCACGGCAGTGTGGATTAGTTTTAAAGTCTGGGTTAATAATGATCCCTGACGGAACTTTATTCATTTCCGTTTGGACTGAGATGAAGTAATTCAACAAGCAGCTTTATTTTTTTTAAGCATTTCGATCACCACAGTGATATATTTTCCCACCATGTACCACCTGGTAACAAATCTTCTGAGTGTGCATCCCCTAACCAGTTGTCTTATAATATGGTGACTAAATACCTGGAACCAAACCAAAAGAACAAGAAGCAAGCGTAAATAAATTTATTGGTTTATAACACCTGCGAAAACGTCATTGGATACTGGAAGATTAAGAGCGCTCAGTTTACCATTGTGCGCCACTATGACGATATCTGAAGACCAGACAGAACGTGCTTTGAATACTGTTAAGAATACACTCGATGAAATAAAAAACCGACCTCATCGCCAACAAGTTGTTATCGGTGTCGGATCAGGACTGTAAGATCCTAATAAGATTTACGAATCACATTCTTAGACTTGCAGGTTATATATTTACGAAAATTGGTAGGGCAGCTGCTCTTCTTTTGGGTGGAAGTTTAATTGCATTACAGGTATGTAGCATTTGTAACTTACTGTTAGGATTTGACTGCAAAGTCTTGAAAAAGCTCATAAACAATGCGATTGTAAAAGTTTTTTTGTACCTTTGTGTTCCTTGAATTATCATTGTGTTAAATATTACTTGAATGGTACATACTTATGAACTTCCATAGGCTCCAATTTTCCCTGCAGTATTAGATCACGTGGGTCAGTAAGCCATATCATCTTTATAATTCACCCGTCTGGCTCTACTCCTTTTCTCACATGTTTCCTGATCCTCAAATTTTCGTCATCAGATAATATTTTATGCTGAATTTCATTCCATAGTGTTGCTACATTGTGATTTGGCAAACTTACGTCTTCAAATAGGTAATCGTGTTTTATCTATTCTGGTCATATACAAAAATATTTCTCCCTAATATCGTAGATTGTAAACATTGTCGTTTGTGGCTATTGTGCGTTGGTTTTGTTTTTACAGTCCAACCTTGGAGAGTTAGTAAATCAGCAGCGTAAAGTTAGGAATGCAAATGGGATGTTACTAGTCTTAAAAGCTATCGAAAAGTAGTGAACTAAACTAAGAGGACTTTTAAATTATTTGAAATAGAAAAGTTTAATCTTAATGACAAACAGCAAATGCAAATATAGTGTTGTAGTTGTTATTTAATTATATGAGTCATTTTGCTTTCGACTACAGACTTCTAAAATAAAAATAACCACAGGGCAGTGCCAACTTTCAAAGATGATTAAACGGATAGTCCGATTTTACTCAGAATGACATATTAGTGAAAGCAACGATCGACTGTATTCCCTATATCTCCATCGGCTAATTTGACGATATAATCTCATAACTACCGTGTTTATGTTTCTGACTAACACAAGCAACAGTTCACTACTACTAGTGTTATCTTACGTTTTTCTTCCAATATAACTTCAATGCCTAAAATCATCCAACTAGTGCTTCGTTCAACAAGATGTTATACATATTAATTGGAGAAGTGCTAGCAACGAAATACAGTCAAGTACACCTGCCATCTTCGAAAACAAGGTAAGTCATCTGTGAATTGTTTTTGTGATTTCAAGATAATGATCAACAGTTCTGTATTTTTCATTCCTGTTTTCTTCTGTTTCATAACTCACTTATTTGCAAAGTACCCCAATTCAAAAATATAACTTCCTAATCGCAACTCTTACTGATATTCTTCTTTAAAACTACTGTGATATTTCAAAATTTTCGATATACATACGAAGTCAGTAATTTGAGTGAACTTAGTTTATTCCCCGTTCATATATACATTTAACTCATGTGGTTTATTGGTCTAAAAATAGTTTGTATCCACTTGGTTGTAAACTCGAACCTAATTTACTTTCACGTTAGCATCGCAAGTTATAAAAATTCTACGCAATTCTTGATCAATACGAAAATAATCCGCAAATAATTATGTTTATGCTTGTACATGGGATGTACATACTGATTAAATCATAGGGTTGTATCATTTGATTGCCAACCCTGAATCGGTGTATTGAATTAGACATTATAAAGTGTTACTGGTGTATATATACTTTCGTTTGCAATTTAAGTCAGTAGCCACCGTAAGACCAATTATACCACTGTCCATTCGGGAAACTGAAATATCTCTGTTAAGTTTATAACTCACTGGCTTATAGCCAAATAGAAAGTTTTTATCGCGTCATGTATAATTTTTTATAAAATTAAGTGCGTAATTTATTTACTGGTTATCATTCAGTCAGTCAGATGCAACGTAGAACTTTGTACATAAGTACATCAGTTCATGTTGCCATACCACATCAGCACAGAGAAGTAATCGTCAATTCAAATCCAATAGTAGAAGAGGTAGTAAGGGAATTAGAAATAATCGGAGAGGTTAGGATTAGAAGATACTACTCAAGAAGTATAATTCAGTGAGAAAAGTTTAGAGAGTCGAAACTAGAGGGGTTGAAGAATCCAGAAGATTAGCATTTGAGAGAACACAGAGAATAAATGCACTGGCGCCATTGCGAACGATTTTGAGCCATATCATTCAAGGTCTCTAACCATCGATTATTATCATCTCGCGGACCCCAACCAGGTAGTCGACAATTACCGACATGGCTAAGTCCACTTGTCAATGACTTCATGGATTTCTGCCATGTTTTGGTTTGGCCGCCCCTAACTTTCTTCCAACCTATTCCCACACTACAAAACAAGGCTCGACGAGGCAGCCGGTGGTTCGGCATACGCAACACATGTCCCAACCACCTCAACTGATGAAGTTTCACCACTTCATCGATTGATCTGCCATTCTTACCTAGCACCCGATTCCTAATAACAGCGTTGCTCACTCGGGTGTCCCACGACATACGAGCAATGCTTCGAAGACACCTATGATCGAAAACCAGTAACCTACGAATATCTTCTACTCTGACTGGCCATGTTTCACAGCCATAAAGTAAGACGGAGCGAACTACTGCGCAGTACACTCGTCCTTTAGTCAGCAAACGGATATCTCGCCCACGCCACAAGTGACGCAGGTTGGCAAAAGCCAATCGAGCCTTCTGTATCCGAGCTGAGATTTTGTCAGTCACCAGGCCATCGGCACTGATGAGCCTCCCAAGATAAATGAAGCGGTCTACACGTTCGACTACTTCACTCCCTATCACTAGTTCAGGTGCCAATGCAACCCAGTCTTGAAGCAACATTTTGCATTTCGAGGGTGAGAACCGCATCCCGAACATGCTTGCATTGTTGCTTAGGGTAGTCAGAAGACTCTGCATTTTGTCAGCGTCTTCACCAAGTAGGACAATGTCATCGGCATATTCTAAGTCAATAAGCGAGCCACCTGGAAGAAGGTCTACTCCTGAAAATTCAGACGAGGATAATGTTAACTCTAGGAGCATGTCTATGATAAAATTAAACAAGAATGAAGAAAGTGGACATCCCTGACGGACACCACTTGATGTAGAGAATTCCGGTGACAGTTCGCCATAAGCCCTCACCCGACCAGTGGTGTTCGAGTAAAGAGCTTGTATAAGGTTAATGTACTTCTTTGGTACACCTTTCAATGACAGACACTGCCACAGAACCTGACGATCAACAGAGTCAAATGCCGCCTTAAGGTCTAGGAAAACAACTATTGTAGGACGCCTAAATGTGTGTCTATGTTCCAGGACCTGTCTGAGTGTGAAGACGTGGTCTATACAGCCACGTCCAGGTCGAAAACCAGCCTGGTTTTCTCTAGTCTGCTCTTCACAAGCTTTCGTTAAGCGTCGAAGTATTACTGAGGCCAATATTTTAGATACTATATTAGTTAGACTTATTCCTCTGTGATTGTCACAAGAAGACTTTTGTCCTTTCTTATAGATTGGGACAATCAAGGATTGAGACCAGTCGGATGGGATTACGTCCAGTTCCCAGATTTTACCTAAGATCTCAGTCAATCTAGCTGCTAAAACTGGACCACCATCCCTGAATATCTCAGGGGTCAGTCTATCAGGACCTGCAGCTCGTCCTCGTTTCAGATTTCCTAACGCTTTCTCAACGTCATTAAGACTAGGGGGACTTACGTCGATTTGCCATTCAGGATGACTGGAGATCGTGGGTAACTGAGGAGTGGCTCGTGGCCAGTTGAACTGATCCCTAAAGTGTTCTGCCCATCGATCCAGTCTCCTGGATTGAGAATGGATAATAAGACCATCCTTTTCCGAGATAGTCTCACTCACATTCGGGTTCTTAATACCGGTTTCTTTGATAAGGCGGAAAAGTTGTCTAGTGTTGCCTATCGCCGCTGCCTTTTCCATCGCTTTTGCTTTCGCCACCCACCACTGTTCGCGGTCGTTACGCAGACTTTTTATAAGTCTGCGCCTAAGCTGACTACGCTCTTCATCATGCTGAGTCAGGTGGGATGCGTTTTCGAGCATCCATCAGTTCGGTGGATGCGGCTGAAATCCACGGCTTCATCCTAGCCTCATGGTTTACCTTACTAGCAGATATCACTGCTGTTTCCACAGCCTTTTTGATATCATACCAACCTGCTTCTGGATGGGAATCACTTGCATGGTTGCTTAACTCTCTTTCTAGTAGCTCCTGAAATATTTTCTTGGTTTGATTATCATTAAGTAAAACCCTAAGAGGCTTTCTCACGGTGTCTTTCCTACGTCCAGTAAGCCTTAAACAGATACGAGCTCGCACTAGAGCATGATCTGAATCCAAACATGTGCTCCAGAACGAGCGACAGTCTTCTATCGAACCCCTCCATCGGTGGCTGATGGCGATGTGATCTAGTTGAGTCCAACGTTGAGACGACTTTGGAGGTCGCCAGGTCAACAGATGCTTTTCCTTATGCCTAAAGTTGGTGTTCGCTAAGAATAGGCGGTTATATGAGCACAGTTGCAACAGACGGTCGCCATTGTCTGTTCTCTCAGTCGCTACACCATAACATCCACCTAGATGTCTTTCCTTTTCACCTAGTCTACCTACTTGAGCATTAAAGTCACCAGCCATTATTACTATGTCAGAGCGCTTAGCTTTTTGGAGGAGGTTCGAGAGCTTTCTGTAAAACTCATCTTTAACCTCGTCTGCACTGCAGTCAGTGGGGGCATAGGCAGATATGACGAAGAGGCAACGGCGAGTGTCCCTATCCTTACGAGTCCTTACTGTCCCGTTTAGTCGGACAGCGCACAAACGACTATCTACTGGGATCCAGTCTAGGAGAGATAATTCTGCCCTAGGACTCAACGCTATGTCTACGCCAGCAAGACCCCTGGAAGCAGCATCAGGGCTACCGGATACCCGAAGAGTAAATCGAGCTGCTTCTTCGTTTTGACAAGGTGGGATCAGGTTAATGACTTTACTAGGATCCTGTATGCGCGTTTCCGAGACGCAGCATACATCGATGGCACGAGTTTCTAAAGTCCTAGCTAATGATGCCTGTTGCCCTATTTGACACAATGTCCGTACATTAAAAGCTCCAATATGTAGTCTAGAACGGGGTTTCAAGAGACCAGGAACGACGTTTCGTGATCTCGCTTCGTCTGCATTAGCGGTGCAGTGAGAAAAGGGAGTGTGAGTACAGTTAGTTGTAGAGATAAAAGAGACATTAGGGGGTGTAGGAAGGATTTGATTTTGACCAATTTGGTCTCGCGTGCTGGTACGGGTATGAGGGCGGTTGTCACTTCCCGGCTGCCCACACCGTGGAAGGTTGTTTCTTGAGGGACCTGAAAAGGAAGATGGATCAGTGTTGGTGCGTGACCGCAGAGCCCAAGGGACAACTGCTTGAGGCCGGTCACACGGCCTTTTTATGAAACGTTTTTTGAGGATTAGCTCCGTTCTTAAAGGCCCTTAGTGGGCACCCTTACCCAAGGAGATGGAAATCCGTGAGTTAGGGGGAGTGTGACATTTTTAGGGCCGACCTTTTCTAACCCTTCCTTCCTTGTGAGAAGGCAGCATCGCTGCAGATGCTGGTTGTCCGAGGGAAACACCTTACTGCTGTCACAGCCCTCTGCAGTCAGCAGTACGACTTCGCCCTCAGACCTTGGGCAGCTGCTTTTAGTCTGATCGTTCTCCAATCGACCAGCCTGGCATGGTAGGACCTGCAGGAACATATGTTGCAGCCAGTATAGCTCGGTTGGGTCATCACGATAGGCAAGCCCGACCACCACGTCAAGGTAGCAGCTTCGGTCGGGGGTTATCATTCAGAGACAAGTTTAATATAGTTCACATTTGATGTATAGTCGATGATGCAAATTGATATATCTGTGGAAAAATAGGCTCTAATGTTACTCGAGACAACAATGAACGCTCTACATTTAAACTGTCTAGCTTAAGAAAACCCAACAACAGTAAAAAAAACTAGTTTCGTTTGTGAAAAATTTTAATTGTCAATTAGAATCGATTTAAGCTCTATTTCTTCAGTAAAACAACGAAAATAATAACTCCATTCTTTTGAAAAGTTAAGTCAACCCAATGTAACCTCAGACCGGAGAATCCCGTTTGATATTCACTAAATTACTCTTTTTTTGTAGGTCAAGTAAAATGTCCTAATGCCCATGTGTTGTACTCGTTTACAATTGTAAGGTGTTGCTACTGAATGAGAAATGGGAAAAAAGTTACAGTTATCGTTCTGAAGTTGCTTCCAAAGTATTTGCCGCACAAGCCATCACTCTTCTCTAATCAAAAGTAGATTCTTAGATAAAAATGATAGGTCACGTGCGTATAATAAATATAGTATCTGGCTCATGTGTTTCGCTTATCGAATATATACAAAGTTGAATTACAGAAAACATCACATGGTCATAAATTTGTAAGAGAGCTGATATCAAATAGTAATATATAAAAAATCTAAATCTATGAAACTAAGTAAAGGTTGAAGAAAACTGTTAGTCCTAATAAACCACTAAACGCAATGAATTTAGCTGACAAGTTGTCGTAAGCCTCCACTAGGCTAACATCATTCGAATAAAGCTTCTGAATAACTTTGGATAAGAATTATAAATCAGTTAATCAAGTCACAAGTCTCCATTGACCTGTGGTAGTAGAAACACTTGGTAAACGTATCTTATCACTACCTATCATAGTACTCAATGTCGAATGAGATAAGAGTAGTTTGAAAGAAACTTAGAGGTCACTAATCAAAGTCATGAAATGAGTTCACTGTTTTAAATGTTTGAATCTAGTCGCATTGTCTGATATGAACTTTCAGGTTGAGATCTACAAGATAATCGTAACTGTGCTAGCTGAAGGCGTTCGATAATATGTTCCAAAATGAGCTGTATTGAAACAGTTGTACTCATCCTTATCTATAATTATTCCAAAACTTGTGCTCATCTTGTTGAATTCTCTCGCTTGATGTCTTTAATGTGAGTTTTTGTAACCTGGATTGATAGGCATTCACACCAAGTCCTAATTTACTTATGTCAGTCAGTTGCGTTGTAGGACTTGGTATGTACGTATATCAGCTCAAGTTGCTGCAAATCGATTAGCATAAAGAGATGAAATTGTCGGGCCACATTTCAGAGTAAGAATATCAATCGTAATGGAAAATAATAGGCCACATAGATACGATTCAAGGAAAATAAAAGAAATCATAAGGAATTCAAAAGCTTAAAATTTGAGGTAAGACAAAGAATGGATGCACCTGCCCCATTGCAAACGATTTTCGGCCATGTCACTGAAAATCTCTAGCTACCAGTTAGGTGTAGCATACAAATCTCAATTTGCTTAGATTTATTAAGCATAATAGGTAGTAGTATGTGCCTATTTACAAGGCTCAGTTCATTCACCAATGGCTTCATGAACTGGTACCATGTTTTCGTTTTGGCTGCCGCTAGCTTTCTTCCAGCGAACCATACCAGACAACATCTCTCGTCAATGTAGAGGTGGTCGTTGGGCACATGTTCCAATCACCTTAGCTGATGAAAAATCTATTAATTCGTCAATCTGTTTGCCATCCTTACTAAGTACCGTATTCCTAACCCAGGCATTACTCACTCCGGCAGTCCCATGATATACGAACAATGCTTCAATGGCATCTACGGTCGAATATTAACAACCTACGAGCATCCTCTTTTATTAATGACCATACTTCATCCCTTAAAGTAGAACAAGAGCGAACTGCTACCGCGTAAACTCATCTTTGTGTTGGCACATAGATATCTCCCCGACTCTACAAGTAACACAAGTTGGAATATCATATCAATCAAATCTTTTGTTCCCGTGCCGAGATTTCGTCAGATAAGAGATTATTAGGTATAATGAGACTCCCAAGATAGGTTTGAAGCAATTTTAACTTAACGATGACTTAATTATAAGTGATCAAGTCATATTTACATTGTCAAAAAGCGTGACGTTGATTGTATTTCTTATACCTCCTACTTACTCTCTAACGCGTCGTAATCGATCTAATTTTACGAGATCAATCACTAAATCAGTATCGTGTTTACCTTCAGATGCACACTATTTACTTACTTAGAGTAATCTTATATTATTCATCATGTTATTTAAACTTTCATTATGATTATTTTACTTTACTTTACTTTACTTTCTATGAATGAAAAGCGTACATTGAAAGATAAGGTTAGTTATAACACCACCAACAACAACAAAATGAAAATATATGCATTGTTGTAGATTGCTGTATATGATTGTTCTTATTTATGTATATACATTCTGATTGGTGATTTATATAAATATATATTTACTGATTGAGTTTTTTGTTTGGTTTTTATCATACTCTAGAAATGATTGCCCTATTTTTAATTAATTTGATTATAATTGAGCATCATAAAGAAAGTTTTACTTCCTTCCTGTAAATGGCACCAAATTGATTAGTTCATGCATGTATGATATATTTCAAGTAATGATTTTTTTTTGACTTGACAACTACTCTTCTTTTCTTTATTGTGATTAAGCTACTTACTTTCTTTGACTTGTTATCCATTTAGATATGTGTTATTGTTTGCGTGACACTGTGTTAACTGTATCATGAGAAAGATATTTACAAATCCACTGAAGGCACTAAATTGCTTGAGCGTATTCAGTTTTATCTACTCAGAATAGTTGAACATCTTTTTTTTGATAGTGGTAGAACGTCTCAGACAGTCATGGTATCTCCAATATATTCAACAAAAATAGCATAGACGACCAAATAGAAGCTGGACATTTTTGAAGTAGTTGTCCATTTTTGATCGACCTTCCTGTTACACCAACTGTTGATACCTTTGATAGGGATTCTCGTATAGCATGCAGGGACAGTCGATAAGAGAGAAATTGCTTAGGGTGGTCAGAAGACTGCATTTTGTCAGCGTCTTCCCCAAATAGAACTATGTGATCGGCATATTCTAAATCAATAAGCCAGCCTCCTGGTAGAAGGTCTGCTCCTGAAAATTCAGACGAGGATAAGGTTATATCTAGGAGCATGTTTATGATAAAATTAAACAAGAATGGAGAGAGTGGACATCCCTGACGGACGCCACTTGAAGTAAAGAATTCCGTTGACAGTTCGCCATAAGCTCTCACTCTACCAATGGTGTTCGAGTAGACAGCTTGTATAAGGTTAATGTACTTCTTTGGTACACCTTTCAATGAAAGACACTGCCACAGAACCTTACGATCCACTGAGTCAAATGCCGCCTTAAGGTCTAGGAAAACAACTATTGTAGGACGCCTAAATGTGTGTCTATGTTCCAGGACCTGTCGTAGTGTGAAGATGTGGTCTAGACAGCCACGCCCAGGTCTGAAACCAGCCTGGTTTTCTCTAGTCTGCTCTTCACGAGCTTTCGTTAAGCGTCGAAGTATTACTGAGGCCAATATTTTAGATACTATATTAGTTAGACTTATTCCCCTGTGATTGTCACAAGAAGACTTTTGTCCTTTCTTATAGATTGAGACAATCAGGGATTGAGACCACTCGGATGGGATCATGTTCAGTTCCCAGATACTACCTAACACCTCAGTCAACGTAGCTGCTAAAACTGGACCACCATCCTTAAATATCTCAGGGGTCAGTCTATCAGGACCTGCAGCTCGCACTCGCTTCAGATTTCCTAACGCTTTCTCAACTTCATAAAGATTAGGGGAACGTACTTCGATTCGCCATTCAGGATGACTGGAGATCGTGGGTAACCGAAGAGTGGCTTGAGGCCAGTTGAATTGATCCCTAAAGTGTTCTGCCCATCGATCCAGTCTCCTGGATTGAGAATACATAATAGTCCCGTCATTTTTCGAGATAGTCTCACTCACATTTTGGCTTCCTAATACCATTTTCCTTGATGAGTCTAAGTAGTTGTCTACTGTTGCCTATCACCGCTACCTTCTCCATCTCTCTTGCTTTCTCCACCCACCACTGTTCTCGATCATTGCGTAGGCTTTTTGTCAGCCTACGTCTAAGCTAACTCTGAGGATTACATAGATTAAACATTTTATCAAGAACTTCTTAGCATTAACAAACAAAATGAATACATTCTCATTGAACATGTAAACCGATTAGGATACATCCATACATATTTTGTTTTTTTTTCAAAAATCTTGTTGTTATACTCCTTTCTTCCATGTTGTTCCATATTGTTCAATGTTTTCAATCTTTAACTCCAAGGTTAATTATTAAATATTGGGCACATTGTTTTATTTTTTTTATCATACACATTGTTTGGTATTGATGAAATTCCCAATGCTCAGTGAATTAGTAATTCACAATTTGAATGTTGGTTTGTTTGATTGTTTTGAAAAAAATAATTCGGTGCTTCTGCTTTTAGTCTTATCTTCTATATCACTGGTTAAATTTTTTTGGTAGAGAAAAAACACTGCACATTTTATATGAATTACTCTACTATATTTGAATTGATGTGTTTAATGCTGTTCGTGATTTGACTTAGAGTGAGAAAGATAGAGATGATGACATTCATTGAAACACTAAATTTATCTCGAATCATAGCTTCGAACCCTAATCTCTTTCATTACTGCTGACTTCTACTATCTCTATTACTATGGGATTTGAACTGACAGTTGCGTCTCTGTGATGATGTGGTATGGCAACCTGAACTAATGTACTTATGTACGACGTTCTGAGTTGTATCTGTCTGTCTGTCTGTCGGTTTCAATGAACCGCACATACACAGTGAAATGAATTAGAGACTATTCAATGATAAAGTACAGGATAAATACGACAGACAGAGAATAACATAGTTTTGCAGAATAAAATAAATAAATTTCAGTTAGTCAGTCAGTCAGCTACAACCTAGAACGTCGTATGTATGTATGTCAGTCAGTTAGTTATAACATATAACAGTTCAGGTTGCCATACCCCATCAGCACAGAAACGCAACTATCAGTTCAAACCCCATAGTGATAGAGATAGTAGAAGTTTCAGCAGTAATGAAGAAGACTAGGTTTCTAAGAAATGGTTCGAGAAGTATAATTCAGTGAGATAACCTTAGGAAGAGAAAGAGATGATGAGGAATTCAGAAGGTTAGAATTTGAGCAAACACAATGAATGAATGCACCTGCGCTATTGCAAATGATTCTGAGCCATGCGGTTCAAGGTCTCTAACCATCGGTGACTCGTCTCGTGGACACCAACCAGGTAGCTTACATCTACCAACATGACTCACTCCACTTATCAGTGTGTATATACGTACATCAGTTCGAGTTGACGTACCACATTAACACACACAGAGAGAGATCAGATTGTCAATTCACATCCCATATTAGTAGATGTAGTAGAAGTATTAGCAGTAATCGGAGAGATTACCGTTCGAAGATATTACTCAAGAAGTATGAGCTAGTGAAGTAAATTTAAAAAGAGAAAGATCAAGGTAATGAGGATTTCAGAAGAGATTAGAATTTGAGAGAGCACAAAGAATAGATGCACCTGTGTCATTGCATAAGTCTTGAGATTGGTGTTCCTTTTGTTTGTTCTCCTAGATTATGTTGTTGAATTTGAAATACGTTGTTAAGCATAAGCCAATGAGCTCTAGGAGACCTTGACCCTGAAGTTTCGTATATTTTTCGGAGATTTGTGTAGTTGGTGAGGAGCAGCGATAGAGTTTCTTTAGCCAAGCTTGGTTCTAATGAGGTAAATACTTCACTTCTATCTGAAATGTCCATAACCGTAACATCCAACTCAGTGAACGAAAATCCACCACAACCACCCACCTGCATTACAAATTTTCTCCACCATCTCAAAAAGTCCTGAAGTGTAACAATGATGTTTGATATAGAGTGAAGTAATTGACTGACTCAATTCTCTTTATGTTTTCATTTGAACTCTGTCTTTATATGACCTCAGTATTCTTCATGTGAATAGATTTTTATGGTTAGCGTTTTTTAGAGAGTTAGTTTTCTACGCTATAGTGTCGCCAACCCCACTCCTTACCCCTCCTCCTTCATCCGGGGTTAGGATCGACAGTAGCCCAAGAGGAGCTCCAGGCGGAGTTATCTCCATGTACAAGTATATATATAAAATCCCTTCCGTCATCAATGTCAGTTACTTCGTATTATAGACTCTGACAAAATGCAGAGTCTTCTGACTACCATAAACAACCATGCGAGCATGTTCGGGATGCGGTTTTCCCCCTCGAAATGCAAAATGTTGCTTCAAGACTGGGTTGCATTGGCACCTGAACTAGTGATAGGGAGTGAAGTAGTCGAGCGTGTAGACCACTTCACTTATCTGGGGACTGTCATCAGTGCTGATGGCCTGGTGACTGACGAAATCTCAGCACGGATACAGAAAGCTCGATTGGCTTTTGCCAACCTTGCGTCACGTATGGCATAGGCGTGATATCCGTTCGCTAACCAAAGGACGAGTGTACTGCGCAGCAGTTCGTTCCGTTCTCCTATATGGCTGTGAAACATGGCCGTTTAGAGTAGAAGATGTTCGTAGGTTACTAGTATTCGATCATAGATGTTTAAGAAGCATTGCTCGTATATCGTGGGACAACCGAGAAAGCAATGCTGTCGTTAGGAAACGAGTACTAGTTTAGGATGGCAGATCAATAGATGAAGTGCTGAAACTTCATCAGTTGAGGTGGTTGGGACATGTGTTACGTATGCCTATCCACCGACTGCCTCGACGAGCTATGTTTTGTGGTGTAGGAGTAGGTTGGAAGAAAGCTAGGGGCTGCCAGACCAAAACATGGCAGAAATCCATGAATTCACTGACAAGTGGACTGAGTCATGTCGGTAGATGTAGACTACCTGGTTGGGGTCCGCGAGACGAAAGTCATCAATGGTTAGAGACCTTGAACAGCATTGCTCAACTGTTGCAACTGACTGACTTCATATTATATCATACACCATGATTACACTTTATTACACTTAGATGATTGTAAACAGCTGATGAAAAACCACGAAATACAAATGAATTCATATTATTATTATTATTATTATTATTATTATTATTATTATTATTATTATTATTATTCTGCCTCAATTGTTGCACTGGCTTTATTTCAATATCCTGAATTTTGTAAAAGCAGCCTATCCTATTTAAAATATATCCGTCTAAGTTTTTGAACATTATGTCTGTTACATCGTAAAACTATGCTTCAAAATTATATTTAAATGTATTTCGTTTTTTAAACAATATATTGTATGACACGTTGAAACAAATGGTGTGTGTGTATCATTTCAAATTTTAATTGTTCCGCCATTCTATTTTCAATGTTCAATAGTTTAGTTTTTAATGGGGAAAAATGATAACGACGTATAGTTTTACTTTCTCTGTCTCTCACCATGTATATATTGCATGTTAGTCACACAATAACCAAGGTATTTCTTTATACCCTACTAATTTTTTTTTATCTTTTCCAAGTATGTACGTTTTTTTTGTAACATGTGTGTTTGCATGTTCAAACTCATTCTCGTTTATCAAGTTTCAGTCAATAATAATTACATTGATGTGTCTGCGTGTGTACTAAGCATAAACTCTACATAATTCAGAACAAGATTCAAACTGACGACTTATTTATTGGGGAAGTAGTTGTGGGCTGTGAAGGGCTGTAAAGATCCGTAGAATCACATTGAAATCATGAATCGATCAATATGTTAGACCATGATTAACAACATGGAATTACTGAAAGACGGCTGTTTCGTTCGATTCACAGGTTCAAAGCTTAAGCGTTCACAGATTAGACTCAACAAGCTCCTGGGTTCGATTCGCGCGAGTAGCGGGAGTCGTCGATGCGCACTGCCACTGGTGCGTAGTCCCATACCAAGACGATACGACGATTGTCTGTCAGTGTTTCCAAGTTTATAATGCTGGCTTAAAACATTTTCAACTCAATTCTTCGCTTACTGTTAAGTCAGTCAATTACAACGTAGGACTTTTTACGTATGTACATAAGTTCAGGTTGCTGTACCACATTAGCACAGAGACGCCACTGTCAGTTCAAATCCCATATTGAAGGAGATAGTAGAATAATTACAGGTAATGGAGAATATTAGGGATCAAAGATATTATTCAAGAAGTATGATACAATGAGATAACTTCGGAAAGATAAGGAATCCCAAAGGGTTAGAGTTTGAGAGAACACAACGAATGAATGCACCTGCGCCATTGCAAACGATTTTTAGCCATGTCGTTCAAGGTCTCTAACCATCGGTGACTTTTGTCTCACGGACCACAACCAGGTAGTCGACAACTACCGACATGACTCAGTCCACTCGTCAATAACTTCATCAATTTTTCCAAGTTTTGGTCTGACCGCCCCTAACATTCTTCTAACCTATTCCTACACTGCAAAACATAGCTCGTCGAGGCAGTCAGTGGTTAGGCATTCGTAACACATGTCACAACCACCTCAACTGATGAAGTTTCAACACTTCATCAATTAATCTGCCATCCCTACCTAATACTCGTTTCTTAACTAAAACATAGCTTACTCGGTTGTCCCAGGATATCCGAGTAATGCTTCGGAGACATCTATGATCAAAAACCAGTAACCTACACATATCTCCTACTCTAACTAACCATGTTTCACAGCCATAAAGTAGGACGGAGCAAACTGCTGCACAGTACACTCGTCCTTTAGTCAGCAAACGGATATCTCGCTTACGCCGTAGGTAACGCAAGTTTTCAAAGCTAGTCGATCCTTCTGTTGTATCGGTGCTGAGATTGCGTCAGTCACCAGACGATGAGACAGACCGTCGAGATAGGTGAAGCGGTCAACACGCTCGACTACTTCACTCCCTATCACTACTAGTTCAAGTGCCAATGCAAGTCAATCCCTGAAGCACAACATTTAGGCATAAATAAAACCTTTCTTTTTCACAGTATATATATTATCTAAATGTCATGAACATCAATAATGTATTTTCGTAACTATTCTCATTGTCGTTTATTTCTCTTCTCTTTCTTCCCAAAAATCCAAAGATTCTTAAAACAATTGAAGAGAATCGTGTATTTTTCGGTTCATTCGGTGGTGGTTTCTTGATTGCTGTTTCAGTTTACTAAAATCATCATCATCATCATGCATGTATGCAATGTTTTTAGTTCTATTGTTAAAAATAAAATTCACTTTTGTTTTCCCTCATTTATTTATTCATCATTCATTTCATGTTTGTAAATACAAAAAGCCACATATTCACTGACTAAATATCATTATTATTATTATTATTATTATTATTATTATTATTGTTATTATTTCACAAATTTCCTATTTATTTTGCAAAAATTAAGAACTATTTATCTCCTTAGTACCAAAGATGTGTATTGTCCGTCTGTCGGTCGGTCGAATAATAATAATAATAATAAACCAGAAGAGCGTTTCTTTTTTCTTTATTTCGACATGCTTTTCTCCCATTTCTTTTTTTCGGTAGAATACTTTTTTCTCGCTCTCTCTCTGAATATATAGATCATATATATATGTACAAATCACTTGTGCTACATATAATATGCTCATTTCAAATCAATACATATTTGTGTTCTAACATTCATAACTTTTGTACTGGTTGTTTTTGGCTTTCTGACAAGTTGTGTTTTCACCTTTGATGTGATTGCGTTGAACTGGAAGTGTTAGTGGGTTCACTCACTACTTTCGGTGGCCTGCGATGTCACGCCGCCCCCCACCCTTATTTATGACGTTCGATTAGGCTTTGAAATGTTACAAAATCTCCCGTTCAGTCTCTGTGTATATCACATTTAAAGTGAGTCAGATGCAACGTAGAACTTTGTACGTAAGTACATCAGTTCATGTTGCCATACCACATCAGCACAGAGACGCAACTGTCAATTCAGATCCCATAGTGGTAGAGATAGTAGAAGTATTAGCACTAATGGAGACGACTATGGTTCGAAGATATTATTCAAGAAGTATAATTCAGTGAGAAAAGTTTACAAAGTTGAAGAATCCAGAAGATTAGGATTTGAGAGAACACAAAGAATGAATGCTCTGGCACCATTGCGAACGATTTTGAGTCATGTCATTCAAGGTCTCTAACCATCGATTATTATCATCTCGCGGACCCCAACCAGGTAGTCGACAATTACCGACATGGCTCAGTCCACTAGTCAATGACTTCATGGATTTCTGCCATGTTTTGGTTTGGCCGCCCCTAACTTTCTTCCAATCTACTACTACACTACAAAAGAAAGCTCGTCGAGGCAGTCGGTGGTTAGGCATACGCAACACATGTCCCAAATATTATATTTAAAGGCGAACCCTGTTTTTGGAGATAAAATTAGAAAGCCGAATACACAGATTCGGTTGAATCAGTTTATTTCAGGTAATCGTTGGTTCGTGTAGAAAGACATGAGAATTACAAAGCGCTTAAGTGAAGTGGAGAAAGCGAATGAGCCAACGCAACGCGATACAGCATTAATTAAAGTCTCAGACATTGCGATAAGCGAAGCAATCCAAACACATACTCGTATAAAAACAACCAAGATCAAAATGAATAGTAGGCAAGGTCGGATAATGTGTGAATAATAACTTGCATAGAATGGATTAGTTAAGTCTTGGGACAAACCCAGTGTGTTTGACATAAATGTACTACTGGCATTACAAATCACAACAGATATTACACTGCTCATTAAATCAAATAATCTATAAACTTGATTCCATTGATGAAATTCAATAATTTTTTGATAAATGAACGCAATTGAAAGATAACTTTGATTGTAACTATCGACTTGCATTAATCAACATTCAACTCATCATCATTAACTGTAGTGAGATGATGGGGAAAATTTGTAGCTCAGTTGGATGATTGTGGTGGTGTTTCGTTCTCTGTGGGCTGAATGTTTTGGTTGTGGAGCTTTCATTGTTTCCTTCTTCTGAACACAACATCATCAGCACAAAGAACACTTGAGAATTTTTAGATGCTTGGTACTCAGGTCAGTCAGTCAGCAATTAATAGACACATCAACTCAATTAATCAACCAATCAGAAAAATTATAGACAAACAAAGGATCAGGAAACAAGTCAATGAGGGATACAATCGAAATAAAGATTGAAACATCGACAGATTTAAAAGGTCAACAGCAACCAATCAAGATCGAGGTTAGCAGGACCAAGCTACAGGTCAAACGTCAGTCAGTTGCAACGTAAGAACTTCGTACGTATGTACATAAGTTCATGTAGCCATACCACATTAGCACAGAGACGCAAATGTCAAATCAAATCCCATAGTGATAAAGATAGTAGAGGTATTAATGGTAATGAAGAAGACTTGGGTTCGAAGATATTATTCAAGAAGTATAATTCAGTGAGATAAGGTACAACATGTAGTCTAGAACGGGGTTTAAGGAGACCAGGAACGAAGTTTCGTGAACTCGCATCGTTTGCATTAGCTGTGCACTGTGATAAATGAATGTGAGAAGAGTTAGTCGTGGAGATAAGAGGGGTATGTGTTGGTGTAGGAAGGATTTGATTTTGACCAATTTGGTCTCGTGTGCTATTACGGGTATGAGGGCGGTTATCACTTCCCGGCTGCACACACCGTGGAAGGTTGTTTCTTGACGAACCTGAAAAGGAAAATAGATTAGTGTTGGTCTTGGAGACCTGGGTGCGTGACCGCAGAGCCCAAGGGACAACTGCTTGAGGCCGGTCACGCACGGACTTTTTATGAAAGGATTTTTGAGTGTTAGCTCCGCTCTTGAAAGCCCTTAGTGGGCATCCTTACCGACGGAGACGGAAATCCGTGAGGTAGGGTGAGGTGTGACATTTTTAGGGTCGACCTTTTCTAACCCTTCCTTCCTTGTGAGAAGGCAGCATCGCTGCAGATACTGGTTATCCAAAGGAAACACCTTACTGCAGTCAGCAGTACGACTTCGCCCTCAGACCTTGAGTAGCTGCTTTTAGTCTGATGGTTCTCCAATCGACCTGCCGGGCATGGTAGAACGTTCAGGAATATAAGTTCCAGCCAATATAGCTCGGTTGAGTCATCACGATAGGCAAGACCGACCACCACGTCAAGGTAGCAGCTTCGGTCGGGACAGGTCAAACGTGGCGAAATTCGAATGCTTCACTTCTGTCTGAAGTTTGCGCTGATGATTTTTGAAAGCTCCACAACCAAAACATCCAGCTCAGAGGACGAAACACCACCACAATCATTAATTGTGTTATTGAACATTTTAGATGTTTTTTAACAACATGTAAACTAGAATGGTATACTGATAATGACGAACATGTCATAAGGAATATTATGAAACGAGAGAGAGAGGGGTGTTCATTTATCAGGTATATATAATGAATGCTTCAGTTTATGTAATCAATAAAAGATCACCAACTAAACTAATTTCATTTAAGTTAAAATTATACAACTCACTCCGACTGGAACCCTCTTCTAGGGTTACTGCCGATCCCAAGCCCCCGAATAAGTGAGGAGGGTTGGGCGACCCATTCTCGTAGAAATCCAACTCGTTAAATAAAAACGCTAACTAGACAAGTATAATTCTCTGGCCGGCGGCCTATACTCTATTAGGAGTAACAGGCGTAAGTAAGTAAGTAAGCGTATTACACAACTAATCTAGAAAACATTAGAATTGAGAGTGACTTAACAGAAGAGCCATAAATATCGGGAGTAAGTCATTGGTAATATTTTTGATTTCTATTAGATACAATGTGAAAAAGATGTCACGACAAGTGTATGAGATCATCTCACTTTAATGACAACTTTAAGATTATGTAAAACTGTAATTTACTTCATCCGTCGATTGTATTGAGTCTTTTTATTATATAATAAATTCTGAATCATAGGAAAAAAGGCAGTTCAATGAAGAAACCTTTTTTTCGATGATTTCATTCAAGCTGTACAATTAGAAATATACAGTACTCACCACTTTCTTGTGGCGGTAATGTTGTTTACGAAATTTAGACGTGGATATGCTCGTCAATTGATATGCTTGAAACAATTACGAGTTCACCTTACTGGGTAAACGATAGCGAATACAAATGATCCAGTGACACGATAAGCTATTCTAATCCGTTGTCCCAGCCCCTGTTAACTATATCACGAAGTCTTGATAAGGCGGAGAAAGTGTATTCTACAAGCACTCAGAAAATATAACGTTGACAAGCACACAAATCGTGCTTATTTATACACGATAGAAGCGTCCTCGGGAGAGCCACAAAAATAGAGTACTAAAATAATACATCAACTAATGACAGTCAAGGATTTTCCGAGTGAGAAATGTAATCTCAAGGTCAACTGAGCAGCCTATGCGTGACAACACAAAAAATCCAAAATTAAGACGCTTTCCAAGTGAGTTCTGGGGATCTAACGTCCCCAACAGAGGACGAAAAGTGAGTGACCGACTATAGCTTTCAGCCGTGTTGCTGAATATGTAGGAATCCAATTAGGGGAGTTGGAAAACCTTGATTCCAAACCAATTGTTCACATGGGCCGCAGGATCTCTATGAAACGATTTGCGTATGAACCGTCGGCTACCACTGAAATGCATCCTCTGACGTTATCACACTGCCTTGTCGGATAAGGCTCGGGATTTGGTTCACCTTTGGTTTGCATAGCTGGGCAGTATCCCAATCCACTAACAAAATAAAAATTATTTTTCAAAGGAGAGGATTGAGTAGCAATTAAGCATTGGTGAAAACTATTTAAAGAGTAATGGTTAACCATGAAAGTTTATCGATAAGTTAAGGAAGATGAGCATAAAAATTAACAGAGTGCTACAATGGAAAAGAAACCTTTTTTCATACAACTTGGATTTAAAGCTGATGAATTATCTGGTAAGATTGCGTTCTGAACTAAGATCTACTCATACTGTGGTGCGCGCTACTTATAAGTAGTATATGACGCGAGTGAAAACGTAATGTCTGGCAGCAGATGGGGGAAGATCAAGAAAGGAAGAGTTGAAACACAATGGAATTTGTATGAAACACATGAATAGTGCAATGTCAGACAATGGATTGACGATTTGAAAATTAACCGTTTACGATATGGTTTTCCTATTTTACTGAGTAACTCTGTAATTTTCGTTAAATACAATTCGGT